ATATTTCTCACAAGTCTGTGAAACTTTAAGGGCTAGAACTAAATCTTTTGTTGCTTTATTGACAGTACTTTCCACATAGTAAGCCCTTAATAGAAGTTTGCTAAGTGGACATAGTAGGTTGAATAAGTATTACTGTTCCCATTATGCAGATAAGGAAATGGAGACTCAGAAAAGCTAAGGTGATTGTCCAAGGTCACCAAGTGAATAGGAAACACAACAGGGACTAACACCCAGGTCTCCAGACTTCTACTACCAATCCATGTGCTTCACCATATAGCTCTCCTAAACACCCTTCGTCTAGCTAAAGGATAGCAGTTGGTGGATACCCAAGGTATAATTGGTCAATCCATAAACTGACTTCCTGTCATCAGTATGTAGTGACTTGTAATGCCAGCAACTCCTTTCTGGCCATGAACATGAACAGTTAGCAACCTCATCATCCCTCTTGTCCCAGTGGTTTCTGATCAGGTAGGCACGAGAAGGACTCAGCATCTAGAAGTTGTGTAAGAACAGAAGCCCAACTCAAAATGGCTTAGGCAAAATGAGAGAAGTCTAGGAGTCTCTGGATTCAGGTGCACCTAGATCCAGGGATGAAATGATGTCATACCCTCTTTCATTCTGCCCTGCTTATCATTTCTTTTCTTAGCTCTGTTTTCCCTTTTTTTTTTTTCTTTTTTCTTTTTTGGCTTCATTCTCAGGTTCCAGGTGGTGGCCTCTGGCAGGCTTAGTCCAATCTCCAAGCTTAGTTCATTCCTAGTGCTAGAGGTCCTGGAATTAGCTATCGTTGGATAGTTTTGGATCATGTATCTATTTTTGAGCCAATTACTGTGGCTGAGGGGTTGGAATATGCCAATTGGCAGGGTTCATCTAAGATTGATGAGGTCGCCAGCTTCCAAGATGGACCCCAACGATCTCGTCTTCTGATATGCATGGTCTTGCACAGCGCCGTCCCACATGAAACGAGAGCTAGGTCTTGGAAGCATTGCTGTTTCTGCTTTGATCTCTTGGATTCCTCTCTCTGAAACCAAGGGCCATGTTGTGGGTATGTTCAAGCAGCTCCCCATTTTTTTACTTTAAATATGCAATTTTCCTCCAATGTTACATTATCAAAACAGAAAACACAAAAATCCATGGTGGAGAACAACAGAAGCCTCTTAATCCCACTGCCAGGAAAGAACCACTGTTGGTCTTTGTGGCTCTAAGGAGCCAAAGGTGGTGAAGCCACTGTCTGAGCCAGTGCACCTAGCACACAAGACTCCCCCAGAACTGAGGGGAGCCTGCAGGCAAAGGACACATGCAGCAGCACAATAGGACAAAGATGAAGTCTCATCCTTCAACAACTGTTTTTTCTTTTCATTCCTAACCCACAGAAATCATGTGCTATAATAAATGATTAATACCCCTAGTGGCTTTTTAATTTGGTTTCAGTTGGACATATGTTAGCTCAGACAAGGATGTCTCCTTTAGAAGGTCACATTCCTCATTAATCTCTTCAGGCAAAGGAGAGGAAAAGAAAGATGAAAGAAATGTAAGAGTTAACACTCCAACAGATAGAGAGTATTCTTCCTTTTCCCCTCCCTCCCTCCCTTACTCTTTTCTAAAATTTCTTCAGCACCTACTGTGTGCATGGTATCATTTTAAGCCACTGAGTTTTGGGGTAATTTGTTGCACAGGAATAGATAACTAATACAGTTGCATGTGTTGTAACTCCAGTTAAGGAGTCAGTCGTACTCCAAGTGGACTGAAGCAGGAGGAATGGTTCTCTGAGGAGGAATCAAGTTGCCATTAGTGGGAAAACCGATGGGTACCCCATGAACACACATGTGCTGGAGTATTTAAGAACAAATGTAATATTCATTTTTTTAAAAAGATTTTATTTATTTACTTTTACAGAGAGAGGAAGGGAGGGAGAAAGAAAGGGAGAGAAACATCAATGTGTGAGACATACAGACACCCCCAACAGGGGAACCAGCCAGCAACCCAGGCATGTGCCCTTACCGGGAACCAAAGTAGCGACTTTTCAGTTCACAGGCCTACACTCAGTCCACCGAGCCACAGCAGCCAGGGCCTGGTTCATATTAGGTGACACAGAGCATCTGGGCCAGGCAGGACTCGGGTCTACATATTCCTAGGCAAATTTCCTAACTCCAACTATTGACAGTTTTTCTCCCTAATTATCCCTAGCCTTGAGAAGTTGTGAGCACCACGGACACTTGCCTCCTTTGCCAACACAAATGTATTTGCTCTTAAAGTAAGTTAGTGGTTGTTGTTTTTCTTTTAACAGAGAATAAAGATCCAGAAATTCCTCCATACTTGTGACTAATGTATGGTTTCAGGCTTCTCCTATTAAAGTGGCTCCTTAATTTAATTCCAGTTGGACATGCGTTAGCTCAGACAATGATGCGTCCTTTGGAAGCTCATATTCCTTATTAATCTCTTCAAGTAAAGGAGAGAAAACAAAAATGAAAGAAATATGAGTTAACACGCCAACTGATAGGAAGTCCTCTTCCTCCCTCTCTCTCTCCTTCCTTCCTTCTTCCTCTCCACCAATATTTCTTGAGCACCTACTATGGGCGTAGCATTGTCTATATTCTCTCATTAAGCTTCCTAAAGATGGTGAAGTAGGAGGTATTAGTGATCCCTCTTAACAGATGGGGAAACTGAGACATGTTTGAAGAAGGTAGATGTTTTGTTTCTTTGCAGTCATGTTATTTAGCTCCAAAACCTCAATGATATTAATACGCATAGGGAAAGAGAAAACTGATGTCAGGGTCCTATTTTAAGTTTTCTCTATACCAAAGGCTGCTACACACGATTTCCTTCCAACCAATCACCAAGATACAGATTATATTTCCTGTGTGCCCAATGTGTATGGTGCTAGAGTAAAGAGAGAGAGAAAGAGAGAGTGAGAGTTAGTTTCCGGTGATTTTCTGTCCCTTGTATATCGTTGGATGATCAGGTTTCTCTGAAAAATGACAGCAATAAAGGGAAGTAGCTTACGGAATTTGGCTGCAGAATTCTTCCTGGACTTGAGACTCCCAAACCTGCCTTATGAAGAATGGGCAGGCCCTTGGTACACAGGTTTGAAGGCCAAGCTCTGGAACCAGACAGAGCTGGGTTCAAATCCCCATACTACCTACTTATAAGCTCTGTAACCCAGGTCTAGTCTCTAAGCCTCACTACAGAATGGAATAATAGTAGTTTATACCTCCCACAAAGCTTATAAAGGGTCAAGAAGATTTTATGTATATAAATAAAATATATTTTTCCAGTCCCCAGAATGCAGTAAAGGCCTGACAAATGTAGTTATTGCTACAGGCCATGATTGGGCTGTATCCCTCCGAACCCCTACTCCCTCTGTTGAAGTCCTGGTGTTGATGTGCATCCTCTAAGTGTCTGTGGCAAGCAGACTCTCAGATGTCCCCCAGAGACTGCCACCTCCAGGAATTCATGGCTTTGAGTGAGCCCCTCTGCATGATGTGGGCAAGACCTGCAATTTGCTTATAACAAATAGAACATGGTGAGGTGATCCCACTTTCAAGATTAGAATACATGAGATTGTGTCTTCTGTCTTATTAGCAGACTCTCCCTATTGCCTACTCAGCTCTCATGCTTTGATGAAGCAGACTGCCACATTGGAGAAACCCATGTGAAAAACTGAGGGCAACCTTTGGCCAAAATCCAGCCAGGAACTGAGACTCTCAGTCAAACAACCCTGAAGAATTGAATTTGTCTAACAGCCACATGAGCTTGGAAACAAATGCTTGTCGATTGAGACTTCAGATGAGACTCCAGCCCTGGGTGACACCTCAGTTGCAGCCTTGCGGGGGACCCTGATGCAGAGCAGCCAGCTAAACCATGCCGATTCCTGACCCACAGAAAATGTGAGGTAATAAATATGTATTGTTATAAGCTGCAAAGTCTGTGGTAATTTGTTAGGCATCAATACATAACTCACACAGGATCCAGCTTCATTTCTGATTCAGAGCCCATCTCCCCTACTTCCTTAGCATCCTACATTTATCACATTGCCTCATAGCTGTTGGTTTTCTTGCCTTGTGAGCTCCTTGAGGCTTCGTGCTTGTCATTTCTTGTAGCCCTAGAGCAGGCAGCAGGGCCTCGCATTTGGAGGGTGCTGAATACTATTTCATGACCCCCAGGCCTGGGTTGTGTGCCCCATTAAGGGTCTCCATAACACCCTCTTGATAATGATGGTGGTGGCTTTTAAATGCTTACTGTGTGCCAGGCACTGAGATGAAGCCAGAGATGTGTATTTTTAACTAGCTTTCTGTGATGATTCTGATTCATAGCCAGGCTACATGACTTGAAACAGTCTGTGGAAAAAATTCATTCTGTTCTTAAGATAGTTATATACACAGCCTCCCTGATTTTTAAAAAATCTTTTTGTATTGCATACATACAGGGAAAAAAGCACAACTCATAGGTATATAATTTAATGACTTTTCCAATGTGACACATCTATGTTACTACCCCAAGATGAGGACAGGGAATGTTCCCCACTTGTGTTCCCACCATCGTTCACCAGACCCAAAGGTAAGCACCATCCTAACCCCATCACTACTCAGGCTGAGGTGCGGGGACCGTGCCTGCTCTAGAACTTCCTATAATATAGTCTGTACTACTTCATCTGCTTTCTTTTGCTATCATGTGTATACTTTTGTTAACATCTCCTGTATTAAACTGGTAAAACTATGAGAAGGTTAGGAAGGAGGTGGAAGACTGGGATTCAGAGAAGTCGAGTATTATACTTGGATTTTCCAAAAGATGGAATCACAACCTATCCATTCACTCTGCTTAAAGCAAGAAGAGTGATTGAAGGCGACGGGGGGCATGGTTACAGACCGGCCTGTTCCTTATGAGGGCGGAGTCTTAGAGATGGGGGCGTGGCTCTCGGCCCGGCTTCTAGGCGGCAGTTGGGGCCGGGGGCGGGGCCGCGCCAAGGTTTCCTGTCCGTGCCTGCGGAATCGCTGTTTGACCCCGGAAGTGCTGGCTCTCTGGGAGCTGTCACCGTGGACCGCGGCGGCGGCGACGGCGGCGGCGGCGGCGCATCGCCGGTAGTAGAGCCGCCGAGGTGAGTGTGTGGCTGGGCCCTGCCGGATGCGGGGTGCCGGGCCTGGGAGGAGCCCCGGCCGTGCCTCATTTTGCCTTGGCACTCTCCGCCCCCACGACGCGGCAAAGGCTATGCTGCCCCAGGGGTCTGAGTTGCCGCCCCACCCACAAGAGGTCAGAAGTTTTGGGTTGGAGGCTGGGCCCCAGAGTGACTTGAACGAGTCATGGTCCCCGCACCCTCATTCTGAGGTGAGAGGACTGAATCGTTCAGTTTCCTCGGGGTTCATTCATTAATATAACATATATCTAACTTCTCCTACCTGTAAGTTACAGATCTAGGCACTGGGATACAAACGGAACAAGACAGTCAAGGCTCCTGCCTTCATGGAGTGTACAGTCTAGTGGGAGGAGACAGTCAATCCCAAATAAATGCCCAAGATAATTAAATATGATGGTAACTGGAGGAGTGAATACTTTAGATAGGACAGTCTGCTCAAGTCTCTGAGGAGAGTAATATTGAGCCCAGAAGGGTGATGACAGCCAGAGAAACTGAGGCAGCAGCAGGCCTGGGGATGAGCCCAGGCCTTATTGTAACTGGTGATTGCACTGAGTTCCCCTTCTAAAGAAAGCCTTTTCCTAATTTTTGGCTTTGCTGTCCTGCTTGTCACTGGAGTTGCTGTGGTGGGCACAGACATTGTCATGATCATTGTCCTTATCCTTTGGGAACTTAAAGTTCATTCTTTGTCTAGTTAATTTATGCCCATACCTTAGATGAAAACTCATATCTTCCTTGACAACCTTTTTTTGTCAAGTCAGCTCTTTCGGTCATAGCTCCATGGACCTTACCTGCATAGCATACATCATGGTGTTGAGTTTTACTTGTTGTATGGCTATTTGATTCATAACTATCTTTCCCTTAAAAACTTGTAAGTTCTATGCAGGGCAGAACCAGGTCTGTTATTTTCACACTCTAGTATTCGCTGGGCTTCAGAGCCTGGATAAGAGGTGCTCTGAAATCTTTGAGTGGATAAGTGAGATGATTAACATAGTGCTAGTTCTCCTCCAGTGGTTCCTGTGAGGTCTCTCTTGCTACCAGGTTATTGTCTTCTCTTTCTGTCATGTCTCTCCTCTACTTAAATGGCTCCTCCCTGCTTTCAGGTGCAAGGCCAAAATCTTTAGCATAGCATTCAAGGCTTTTTAAAAAAACTAGCCACATACTTCCTATTCAACATCTCCCTACTCCTGTCATCCGCTCCCTGCCCTTGTATTTTCCACCATACTAATGTCTTCCTCTTTCTTCAGATCCACAGCCCTGAGCCTTTGTTCATGCTTGCTTTTGCTTGGAATGCTCTTCTTTCTCATTTTTTTTTTTACTACCCTTCAACAACTGTATCATAGGTCAGTTTCTCTGTGACATTCTCCCTCTTTCTGCTGTGCTTGTTTTGGAAATTTCCTGGTATAGCTCTAACCACACCGAATGATGGTCATTTACTTGCCCAGGACCCAGAATGTATTCAGCATCTGCTGCATAAATGCGGAAACTCTGCCTATTGTTGGGACTTGAATGATAACAATAAGTAAACTTTATTGAGCGCTTAGTAAGTACCAAGTCCTGTGTTGAACACTTAGTGCTGACTACTTCTCGCATCAACCCTGAGGGATTATGTACTATCGTCATCCCAATTTTACAGATGAGGAAATCAAGGTTTAGAGAGGTTAAGGGACTATCTCAAGGTCTCAACATGGATAGGAAAATGTAGAACCAGTATTTGAAATCAGGCTGTAGAGCTAGAAAGCTGTCTTTCAACCACCACACCAGCTTGGATCTGAACTGCCTTTATAGGTACTAGCCTGTAGGAGTGGATTTTTCCTGAAAGTAGGTGCTGTCATTACCTGTCTAAGCCTGGTCTCTGGGACCTAGAATTTAAAGGGTGGAGAGCTGCCTCCTCCTATGATTCTTTCCCCACCCTAGGTCCCCACACCGGACATTCTCATTACTGTCTTTGGAAGGTAAGCATGGAAAGAACTGGGGCTGTGAGTTGTTTGGACTTCTGCACTGGTGAGAAGACCACTGATGTTTCCACCTGCCCTCCCAGCATCACTGGGGTTGGGGTGGGGTTAGGAAAGGAGTATTTTTTTAATGTGTTTAGCACAAAAGACCCTGGTGCCAAGGCAGAATTGCTTAGCTTCAGTTTCATCTTAGCTGCTAATGTATTTGCCCTGAGCACATCAGAGCCTCTCTTTGGACATCTGAGCATAATAATCTTTGTCATCCTTAGCTGGGTTGTTATAAGAGGCTTGTAAGATGGTAACTCAGTTAGAAATAATGTACATGCAACAGAGGATATTAGCAATGTTTTGCAAAGTTGAAAGATTAAAACTCCAAGCCCCTTTTATTATTTTGCCTTGTGATTTTTTTTAAAGGCCACCTCACATGTGCAGGGACAATGTATCTGATTCACTGAGACTCTAGAGCTGGAACAGACCTCAAAGACTAGACTGACTGGTCCTTCCTCTTTATATTTCTCTAGGATGAATATCTTCACAGTATTTAAAACAACCCATGAACAACCAAGCAAGGTTCCCTGTGTACCAAGCTACTTTCCACTTCTTTAGTTTTGACCTTGCTGTTTCAACTGCCTGGGGCACCCTTCTTCCCTGGCCAGTCTCCTATCAAGACAGCTTCAGGCTTTCCTGATCCTTTAGGCTCTCCTCTAGAAATGCTTCCCTGAGAGCCATATCCCTGCAAGCTCAACTATAGACTACACTTAGTACAGCGAATGGTTAAGAGCCAGCCTGCTTCCCCAACTACTAACTGTGAGACATTGGGCGAGTTTCTTATTTTCTCTGAGCGTCTATTTCCTCATTGGTAAAATGGAGATAATAATAGAAGCAACCTTAGAGTTGTCATGAGCTTTAGTATACGTAAAGTGAGTTAACATATATAAAGTAAGTTAATGCTGAGAAAAGCACTTAGAACAGTTGCTAACAAATGATAAGCATATTGCTCCTGAGGCTGTTGTCATTATTATTTTTGGATGTAAGCTTCCTCAGGGCAGAGACCCTGCCTTATCAGTGTGTCTTCCTAATAGCAGGCGCTGGCCTGACATTAGAGATGTAGACACCCGTATATGTGTACGCATACACACACACACACACACACACACACACACACACACATGCGTGCACGCGCGCACACAGCCTCTCAGCTTATCTGTGAAGGCTTGGAAGGTAATGGTTTCCTCATCCCAGCCTTGATATGTCTTCATGTTGTCATTGAGACTATGCTTACCTTTAATGGAATGTCTTTTAAGGGCGTAATTTGCTTAATTCCATGATGCAGCCAATATGCATGGCCCTCCTGTGGATCAGGCCGAGATATTGAGAAAAGAGCATTGGATAGGAAGACAGAAGATGTAGGGTCTGCCATTCACTGACTCTGACGCTGACTTGGGCCTCTGAAGAAAGGAGCTTGCTCGTACTGGCAAGTTTCTGTCAATCCTGTCATCCTCTGTTCATCTGGGCCCTTTTCCCCTGAAGCCTAGAGAGGTTGTAAAATCTTAATACGCTCTACAAATGAGGAATGGCCCACTACTTCAACCCTCAAAAGACTTAAAATCTGGTTAGAGTTATAAGAAAAGTATCCTCCTGTTCAGTTGTTCATCACACATTTGATGAGGTCACGTCTCTACCAGCCTATGTTGGTCATGGGAAAGGCAGCAAGAGAAGGGGAACCTGGGCACTGTCTTCACAGCGCTCACAGGCCAAGGAAGGCATGGAGCTATAGCCGTAATAAAGATAACCTAGGTACTTTTAACTAGTACTTCTCAAAGAGGGTGGGGATGTATCAGGAGTCACCCGAAGAGTGAGTACTTCTGAGCTGAGAACTGCTTTAGGTTAAAAAAAAAAAAAAAAAAAAAAAAAAAAGTCACTGTAGCCTGGATCAGTTGGTGCGGGAGGCAGGCCTCGCAGGCCTGCATCAGGAGCCCCGAGGCCAGAGGTTTCAGGTCCTCCTGGGATCAGTCCCAGAGCAGGCCTCTTCTACCAGGAGCCTATGTGTCTGCTCTCTTCTTCCCATCCATATTCCTTTTAGGAGGGTCACGCAGCACAATGCCAGCTCTGCCCCTGGACCAACTCCAGATCACCCACAAGGACCTGAAGACAGGAAAGCTGAGGACTTCACCAGCGCTGGTGAGCCGGTGCCTTGAGGCCGTTCAGCCTGATATTATCATTCTTGCAATTTCAAAAGTGGAAAGTAAATTCCTTCTTTATCTGTTCCAAGAATGACCTCAGGGCCACAGTCAGTAATTCAGTAGCTGGGACACTACTAGGTCCTTCCAGGCCCAATGCAGAAGTTTCCGTTCCAAGTAGCAGCTTGAACTTGAGTCGTATTTTCCATGTCACCACCCCACACCTTCCCTCAAAGCATTTCATTTTGAATCAGAGTCTGATGACAGTTCTGACTAGCCCGAGCTGGCCTAGAAATGGATCCATCCCAAAGCGGGGTTTGGGTATTTGACCCTGCGGGAGGTGTTCAGGTTTCAAATAGGCCTTTGTCAGAGCTATCTCAGCTGCTATCCACACTTCGGGGGGGAACACTGATTTCAGAGGTCCGGCCGTCTTTTATCACAACGGACTAAGAAGTGCCACATACAGACTCGGCAGGGCTTGTGAGAATGAAAAATAAGGAGGCTGTGAGCATGCCGATCACCAGCTGCAGAGTGAGATTAGAGCCACGGAGAGGTGCCAGGCTGCTGAAGGAGGAGACAGGCGGGGGGACTGGAGTCCCCGTACCCACTTGCTGTTTTCCCAAGAATATGAACTTACTCAAACAGGGTGGGAGGAAGTGTTTTCCGGGGGCTTGAGTAAAGTCGTGGGAAACAAGAGCTTGGTGTTTTATTTTCTGCTTTCTGGATAGCTTCCTATTACTTCCTAACTACTCTCTAATAAGAGTACTTAACATTCATAGAGCATTCCCTCTGGGCCAAACCTTTCTAAACACTTCACCTGGATTATCTCATTTAAGCCACACCATAGCCCTATGAGGGAGTATTTTGGTTGTCCCCATTTTACAGATGAGGAAACAGAGAGTTCAAGGTCACAGAACTAGGAAATTAGCGGAGTCAGGATGGGAATCCAGCTAGGCTGACCCTAGAGCTCAGACCCTTAAACTTTCTGCTATAAAACCTCTGGTTTCTTTTTTATAACCTTGTTTATCTAAGGAGGATAGTTATCAGAAAATCTAGAACTGTTCCGTCCAATATGGTAGTCATTTGCCATATCTAACGACTGAGCACTTGAAATGTGGATTATTCAGTTGAGGAACTGGATATTTATGTTAATTTTAGTTAATTTAAAATAAAATAGCCCATGTGGTACGTGGAGGCCTGCACAGGCACAGAGCAGTTTCATTATTGCAGAAAGTTCTGTTGGACAGTACTGGTCCCTTGAGCGGTTGGGTCTGATTTTCCACTTCAGTCCTTCCCCTCATACTGAAAACATGGGTTGCTAGACTGTGGGATCCATGAGAGCAGGGACCTGAAACCTTCTCTTTAGTCTGGTTTTCCAGTGCCAGGAAAAATTCAATAAATGAGCCAAGGACCCCAGCTGGCCATTGGGACAGGCACTGGAGCTGCAAAGAGAAAAGACATTGTTTCTGCCCTTGAGCAGCCCGTGGTCTGAGAGAAAAGCACACTAGTATCTTCTCTACAGCGTAATTAAGGTTGTGATAGAAGGAAGTCCTCCAGGCCGCTACATGAGCAGAGACTCTGGGCTGCGGATCCAGATTGAAGGGGTGTGTGGAGGCAGGGAGGTTTCAGGAGTAGTGGGAGGGCGCGCGTGGCCAGGAAAGGCTTCCTGACGGCGGAGGATCCTGAACTGGGTATTGAAGGATGAGTAAGTGGTAGCCAGGCAGGGAAGTGGGAAAGAGGTGGACTGGCAGGAGGACCCAAGTCTGGTGTTTCGAGAGAGCCTGACTCCTGTGCCAACCACCAGTCACTTGAGGTGGAAACAGTATCCCATGGCCTTTGAGTTAAGTCTTACACACAGTTGGCTGTGTGACTTTGGGCAAGTTACGTAACCTCTCCATGTTTCAGGATCTAAAAAGGGTAATAATGGAACAAGCTTTGTGTGGTGGCTACGAGGATTGAATGAGATGTCTGAATTAGCGCTGTGCCTTGAACACAGTAAGCACTCAGTAACGATGGCGATGATAACAGTCACAGTGACAGAAACATTGACTGGGGAGTAGGATGGGTAGTGGGTGAGCTGAGGGAGGCAGCTGCCTCATGGAGGAGCAGTCTTGTTGGCCATGCTGAAGAGGGTCACCCTGCTGGCCACTGGGAGTTCCTGAAAGACTGTCCTGAGGTTTGCACCCACCCTATATTTTTCTCTTTAGTCTGAACTTGGGACAAGAGGATCCCTAGCCAAGAGACAGCCACCATGCTCCCTTTGCAGTGTGATGGGTAAAGCTAATGTTTATTGAGTAGCTACTTTGTGCACAGTGCATACTTGGCACTATTAAAAATCCAAAATAGTCTTAGGCCAGAATGTGTGAATGAGCTTTTGAGGAAGACAAGACTCTTTGTAAGTAGAACATTTAGAGAGCAGGGCAAAATGGTTTCTTATCAAGATAAACAGAAGTTCGATGGGCAGAGAATGTTCAGAAAGCTTCATGGAGCAAGCGGGACCTAAACCAGGTTTGAAGGGTGGAAGATACAGCTGGGGCCTCCTGCTCCCTGCTCTGAAATCTTCCGTGTCGCCCATTACCTGCTAAATAAAGTCCCTACTCTTGACCTTGGCATTCAAGGTTCTTCAAAGACCTTGGCAGTATCTGGTCCTTTATTACTTCTGTTCATTCCTTTTTCTAGCCAGCGAATGTATATGGAGAGTCTGCTGGATGCCAGGCACTATTCTAGGGACTGGCAATGTGGTGAGCAAAGCTCAGACTGCCTCCAGAGACCTACAGTCTTTCGGGGGGAGGCAGAGAGGGCAGGCTCCTCCTTTGTATATAACTTGATTAGGGTATCATTAAAAGACAATAAACTGTTCACATTTAAAGTATAGTATACAATTTGATTGGTTTTGACATCTGTCTATACCCATGAAACTATCACCATAATCAAAATATTGAACATTTTTACCACTCCCAAAAGTGTATTTGTGCCTGTCTGTAGTTCATCCCTTCCCCTCTCCTCATTCTGCAGCAGCTACTGACTTTTGATGCAGTTCAAGTGCTACAGTCAGGGAAGGACAGAGTGCAGGTGCTGGGGGAGCCCAGGTAAAACTCTTATCTAGTCAGGGGTAGGAGTTGGGGAGACTTCCTGCAGGAGGTGAGGTCAGGGCTGGGGTCAAAAGGAAAAGCAGTGAGACCAGGATGGCACATGGGTACCATAGGTCATTTAGTAGGTCTGCAATGTAAGCTTTGTTTCAGATCCTGCCTCAGTTGCCTCCTTAGCCCTGTGACCTTGGTGCAGTTCCTGAAGCTTACTGAGTCTTTGTTTCCTCCTCTGTAAAAACAAAAACAATCTCCCTTTTAAATAGTTGTTATAGATAAAAAAAGAAAGGCTGTGGGACATACCTGCTCAACAGCGGGTCCTCAAAAGCGCTGGCTTTTATTTTCATCACTTCAGTGTCCTGTCCCTCCACATCTATCTCCTGCCACCACCCAGTGCAATTGGTGCCTTTTTTAATGGCCCATTTTTATGCCTCCGTAAAAACACCATTTCTTCATTTGAGAAATCTTTCTTGTTCTCCAAGGCCACCTCAGACGCTGCCTGCTGCAGGAAGCCAGCTGGCCCTCATCGTCCAGGCACAGCTAATCCCCTTTTGCACACCCATGGCCCCTCTGCCAGCTTTGAGCAGTCACGCCCTCTGTTGTGGGCTCACTTGATGGCTTGGATGTGCCTCTTCCCCTCTGGCGCATGGTGTCTGGGCACGCAGATGCTTCTTTTCATGTGCCCCACCACACCTGGCACAGCAGGGTACCAGTCAGTGTTTGTAGGATTGTAAGAAAGTAGAGTCTTGAGACCGTGGGGGTGTTTCTGTTTCAGAGTGAAGGACGGGTGAGTAGCCAGACCTGGGAAGCAACCTAAGAGATGAGGTGTCAACAGAGTTTCGGGGGAGCTTGCAAAGCAAGGAGATGAATTTAGGCCCTGGAGAGTAGTTTTGAACTTGCTTCAGTCAGCAGGATTCCTTTTTCAAAAGATTTGTACCTGGAACCCCACTGTATAAATTCTAATTTAAATGGGGAAGGACCCTGTAGACCCACCCAGTAGGTGGCCTTCGAAGAATGCTTATGGAACCCAGACTTCACAGTTTGAAAGCTTGCATTTGGCAGTAGAAAGGCATAGGTGGTTCTCAAGGAGACTGACAGTCGGTCATGATTTTCCTGTCCCTCCTGGACTGGCAAACCTGGAAGCGGGTGGATTGTGGTTGATAACAGCTGAGATGTTACCCAGCCTTCCTCCTATTACCATTTCCCCGGGAGAAAGCTGCCCTTATGTAGTCAGAGGAGAAAACTGAGCTCATCGTCTCTTCTTTATGGTGAACAAAGTAAGGTTTGTTCATGACAAGGTAGGAGTTGGAAGAGAGAACTTGTGATTCTGAGCCAAGACCTACAATTACTTGATTACAGCATCCTTTCTTTAAAAAAAAAAAAAAAAAAAAAAAAAAATTACTGAGGGTTTTTTTTCCTGATTATTAAAAGGATACAGCATGATACATATAGAAAGATACTATTTTTGTGAGAAAAGTGAAAACATCTACACAAATACTTTATATGAGTATATTTCAACATAAATGCCTAGAAAAGGTCTGCAAGGATACTCACCAGATGGGAGGATGCAGGCACTGGGAGTGTGGTCCCAGGCAGCTCACCTCTGTAGTATAAATTTTTCAAAGAAGAGATGCTCACATCTCACTTGTATAATTAAAAATAATTTTTAAAGTAATACATTTTTTTTTCATTGGAATGTATATTCAAGTCAAAATTCCCCCCACCAGGGATAACCACTGTCAACTTCGGAATGTTGCCCCCCCCAACATTTTTTTAGCCTGTACCGGTGGGTGAATGTGTTAAATATATCTATCTACATGCACTTTCTTAAAAAAATCCCAGAACTGTTTATATTAAATAGAGAGGTTTGTGTCCTGCTTCTTCTTTCCTTAACCTTTCCCCTGTGTCATTAAATAGTCTCCACATGGTTTTTAATGCCCGCCTCGTGTTCCCTGGATGCAACCAAGCCCCTTTGTTAGAGACACTTGGTTCTTTATGCTTAAAAGCTCCTTGGAGGGTCACCGGTTGGAACAGCCAAGTGTTGTCATTGCTGTGGGTTGGCAAATGGGCCCTCGCTGACTAACCTCTGCCACGTTAACACGTGGTTTTTGGATCCGTAGCACCCTGAGCAGAAGGCAGACCGGTATTTTGTGTTATACAAACCGCCCCCTAAAGACAACATTCCCGCCCTAGTGGAGGAGTACCTGGAACGCGCCACCTTCGTAGCCAATGACCTCGACTGGCTCCTGGCCTTGCCTCACGATAAATTCTGGTGCCAGGTAACATTCTATCAAAATTAACGCTAAGACAAAGCACATGACATGCCGTTTGGTTGGTTGCTGTTGTTGTTTCTCTCCCCCTAGGAGAGGCTTTTTTCTCTACTTTTTTCACTGGATCCTTACCAGCAAATTGTGGTTTGGATTGCTCTGTCTTGTATCACAATCTCAATGATGTTTTCACAATGCCTTCCAGTGCGTCATTTTTAGAAACATGTGTTTAGCCCTTGCTCATTCATACCTTCTTAGTCTCTTGGGGTTGGAGTGTTTGCCACCGGCCAGGGCTGTTGGGCCACGAACCCCTGCGCAGTCCACCCACAAGCCCTTGGGCCTTGGTAACAAATTCTTGCTCTCCTCTGTTACCTGGCTAAGGTTATCTTCGATGAGACCCTGCAGAAGTGCCTGGACTCCTACCTACACTATGTCCCCCGAAAGTTCGATGAGTGGGTGGCCCTGGCCCCCGAGGTTGTTGACATGCAGAAGCGCCTCCATCGAAGCGTTTTTCTCACCTTCCTCCGCATGTCCACTCACAAGGAATCCAAAGTAAGTCCCTGATCCTGTGACAGGTCGCCAGTGACACCTAACACCTCTGTGCTGGACTCTCCGTCCCTGGGAAGGAAGGCTCTGGAAGTATCAAGTTTCCTCTTTGTCTCCTCTCCACCTTTATTCCCACCATTGGGGAAGAAATCTGTGCCACCTCCCTTATCCTCTAACTCACCGGGTCAGCCTGTGTTACACCCAGTGTTTTCATCAATGGGAGCCGAGGGCCCTTTGCCAGTTGACGCGTGACTCTGCCTTTTCTTGTGCGTCAGAAGATGAAAACACTGATTCTGATTTTTGAAAGGGACTTGTATATGCTTTTTAAAAACTTTTACTTTCTCCCCCTGATTTTAAAAATAATCTGCTCTAAACAATACAAACATTACAGAAATATTTTGTCAATAGTGAAGTTTACCTACAAACCTCCCCCCCCCCCCCGCCACTACACACACAAAATAACCACTTTTAAGGTGCATATTCCTTTAGGGATTTTTTTTCCTTTAAATAGGGGTATGTGTCTGTGCATGTATTTATTTTAAAAATAGGATCTTATTTTTAAACTTTTTTAGTATGGAAATTTTCAAACACACACAAAAGTATAATGAACCCTGTATACCCATCATCCAACCTCAGCAATTATCAACATTTTGCCAATCTAGTTTTCTCTCTCCTTCAGAGTTTTTCTTTCTTCTTCTTCTTCTTCTTTTTTCCTGGAGTATTTTAAAGCCATCCCAGACATCATGGTAATTTATCCATAAATATTTTAGAATGATTCAACTGTTTCATAGTGTATTTTTGCCTCTTTATATTAAAATGAAGAATAGCTATGTTGCTCGAGGTCAATCTATGAGCCTCAGGCATGTCCACAGTGTGGCTGGACCTTTATTAATTATCCAGTCCCCTGCTGATGGACCTGAAAGTTGTTTCTTGTGAGTTTTCTGTCACTTTACAATGCATCTGCTTTCAGAAAGTCTCTCACTCTCTCTGCACTGTTCCTTAGGATCACTTCATTTCCCCCTCTGCATTTGGAGAAATCATCTACAATAACTTCCTGTTTGACATCCCAAAGATCCTGGACCTCTGCGTGCTCTTTGGAAAAGGCAACTCGCCGCTGCTCCAGAAGATGATAGGTGCGTAGGGCATGGGGCCTGGGGGGGATGCACAGAGATGGCCCCCACATGCCCAACTAGAGGCTCCAAAGGCCGGCACACAGATGAATGCAGGGGGATTCAGAGTGGCCGTGGTGGGTGGTGCTTGGAGATGACTCGGATACATGTACAGCAGCTCTGAAATAAGTGGCTAGGTGGCAGAGGGGGAGTGGAGACAAAAATGTGCACCACATGGTTCCTCAAGGATCTTGGAGCCTTAGTAGTAGGCCAAGTGTTAAACAGTTGAAGTGGGGGTGTTTGCATCGGTGATAAGAGTAAAAACAGCAATGATAGCTAACCTTTATTTGAGTGCTCACCGAGGGGCAGCGCACCCCTCATATGTTATCTCAGCCGACCCTCAGAGGAGCCCTGTGACTTAAGTGCTGTCATCCTCCCCATTTGCAGATAAGAACACAGGTTAAAATGTAAGGGACTTGCCTGAGAGGCCATGACTAATAAGTAGCCAAGCTGGGATTTATGTCACGTAGGCCTGACTCTCGAGTTCTTACTCTTTTTTTTTTCTTAATTGATTTGAGAGAGAGAGAAAAAAACATCGATTTGTTATTCTGCCTATTTATGCACTCATTGGTTGCTTCTCGTACGTCCCGTGACCAGGGATCGGACTTGTAACCTTGGTGTATTGGGATGATGTTCTAACCAGCTGAGCTACCTGGCCAGGGCCATTGAGCATTGTTCTTTGCCACTCCCTGCCTCAGGGACACTGAGGCTGCCTCAAAAATGTCATGATTTGCACTGTTGCTGAGAACAGATGAGGGCAGAGTTCAGAGAGGATTTTTTGGGTAGTGAAAGAATGAAGTCCGCAGTGGGTCCTGTCAGGAGGCAGTGGACCAGAAGGATCAGTCAGAGACAGAAGCTCAGTTGGGATGCTACAGAGGGAACAGCACCAATCCCAGTTCGTGGCATTCGCCCTACACAGAGGTGCTCACCCTGGACACCAGTTCTTCACCATGAGATTGTAGGACATAGTCTTTCAAATGCCCACTTACAAAGCTGAGCTGTCCCTTATAATGGTTTCCTTCCTTTTTCTCCCTGATAATAAAGGTGTATATGTTAATTTAGAAAATGTTGGAAGAATATTAAGTATAAAGAAGCAGGAAAGCAGTTACCAAATTCCTGCACTTAGAGACAATCATTTGGTGATTATTTCCTTCCAGTCTTTTCTCTGTGTATTTAAAAAAAAAAATCAGAGGTAACATATATGAAGTTTCATATCCAGCTTTTTTATAGGAACAACCTCTGGTTTCTCATTCAAATCTAATTACTGCATGATTATCAGTTAATTTCTTTCATTTTCCGAGGGAAAGACCCTTAATAATTCAACTGAGAGGATAGTGTGAGTGAGGAAAAAGCAAGGATGCTTTGTTAGAAAAACAGTTATTAGGCCAGTTTGGTTAGAGTTGAGCATTCTGAGAGAAAAGGGAAAGGCGAGATCAGGCAGGGCTCAATGCCAGGCTTTGGGGAATGATGTTACTGGTGGCTAAAAAGGCAGGCTCTCAAGGTGAACTGCCCAGTTCCCACCCCAGCTCTATTTCTGACTATGTCATATCATCACTCTAATTAGCTAATTGTCAATTAGCCACTTTAAGGCTCAGTTTTCTCATCTAAAAAATGGGAAGACTAATGACATGCCTGCCTTATATAGATGGTTGTAGCCACTGAGTATGAGGTGGTGTTTAACACAGTGCCTGGCACGTTACAGGCACTTGGTACGTGTGAACTCTTATTGTGATGAGACCATGGGAGTCTCTGGGAGCTTGGAGCAGGGTGGGGAAACTCTCTGGTAACAAGATTAATCTGGCAGCACGAGGTGGGGGTTGGGGGCGGTGACGGGAGGTCGCACAGCAGGCTAGTGGGTCCATGTGGCTTCAAGGGTGAGAGCCTGGTTGGGCCGCTAGGGTGGGATGGGACATCTGGGAGGCGGAATAAAGCAGTGCTTAGTGAGGTCAGCTGGAGAGAGAGGTCTTAAGGATTACGGAGAAAACTGGTGTCAGTTGCAGAAAAGGCCTTTGGGAGGTGGGAGGGTGGGGTATGTTGTGCGTAGAGGCAGGGTCAGTGTTAGATCTGTTGGGTGTAGAATGGCTGTGTGATGGGGGGGGCGGGGAGTGGTGGGGGGATGACGCATCCAGAAGGGCAAGGGTGGAGGGAGAAAGCTCTGCCTGCTGCCAGGGTTTTGAATCACTGACTCCTTTGAGAACCAGATGAAGATCTGTGTCCAGAAAAACATACCCCCCTTATAGATTTTGAGGTGTTTTAGACTGTCCTCATCCCCGTATTGAGAACCCTAACTTGGCTTACTCTTTGGCTCTGGAGGGTGGTAAACGGAAAAGAGGGCCGGACTGGGCATCAGGAATCCATTCATTGTGTGTTGGGATGGGTGTGGAGAAGAGGCCTGCAGGCACGGGAGAGAAGGACGCAAGGAAACTGGCTGATGGTCCTTTGGGCAGAAGCCAGTCCTTACCCTGCCCCCGGCTTCCCCTACTCCCCACTTTTTTTAAACCTCAAGACTGGTATGGTGAATTAGCAAGTAATTTTGAACACAGGGCCTTTCAGTTAGACTCTCTTAGAGCTGCTTTGCCAGAGCAGGAGTGCATTGGGCCTTGGCCCTATCAGGCCTGAGCTGATCTATTTGGCAATACTTTCCATTCACCCTGGGTTTTTTGAACTGCTTTAGTCTGAGGAGGGACATTTCCAGGGATGCCATTGCTGTCCCATACCTTTTCATTATTTTGTTAAAAGAGATCCAAAGTCCGATCTTCACCATAATCAGAATCAGATAAAGGAAAGGAAAGGAACTTCAAAGTCCCCAAGGGTAGATTGTGAAATGTGATCTCTTTTGATGCTTGTTAAAATACTGCTGTTACACTGGCTTAAGCACGGGGAGGATTATGAGAGAGTGCCTTCCACAGTGCCAGGTGGCTGGGGTGCGGAGCTATGCCCCTGGGAATTATGGGAGGACCTGCTCCTGATGCCTGGGTCAGGAGGTGCTGCCTGGAGAAGGTGACACCTACCTTATGGGAGGACACTTTATACAGAAGGAGGGGACAGGGCTTATTCTCTGAGGTTGAGGATGGTGCAAGGGAGGAGATGCAATGCCAGGAATGATGAGAGGGTTGCCAGAAATGCCAACAGAGGCCAGATCTCACAGGGCCCTTTGTGCCATGGTCAGGAGTTTGGACTTGACCTTGAGGATACCAATAGGAGGGTTTTATGAGGAAGAGCAGAGGTTGGTGGAGAGTGGGAGTCACTGCTTGCCTCTCAGGAGTAGGAGGTGGGCGCAGATGGTCAGGGAATACCATCACAGGTACTCCCTGACGGATCAGAACCCATCTACAGATGGGAGGTGATGAGCAATTGTGCTGATAAAAATTCAGCTTTCTGGACTCAAGGAACAAAGTAGCATCTAGGAAAGTGTTTACAGAAAATCCAGCCACTTAGTTACTTGCTTACTCACCCAGCACCATCTGGCCTTGCTCTCATTAACTTACAAATCCTCTGGGATGGGGTGAGGGCTGCAGAGTTTTCAATAAAGAAACCAAGGACAGACCTGCCCAAGGACAGAGGACACCTAGAATTCAGAACATCCTGAAAGTCATCCAATCTTAAATGCTAGCATTAGAATGCGATAAAGAACCCTGGCCTCTCAGGGCATTGGTATTTGCATGTCACGTTCCCAACTAGCTGTGATTCTCCGTCCCTCCCTCCCTTCGCCATTTGGACAGTCAGGTCGTTTGGCTTCTGTTCCAGTTACCGTATGCTCTAACCTACTCACCCACAGCAGCAGCACTTGGAGAATAGTAAATACTCAGAGAAGAACTTCACTTATAGAAACAACTGCAAATGGGTGGTAAAAACTGTCTCCAGGTCCCTCGCAGGCCTTTCACCTTGGAGTGGGATCTGTTAGTGTGGCTGGCATATTCAAAAGCAGAGGGTGAGAGAATTTGCAGAGAAATTTCTCCTTAGATCCGTTCACATTATTGGAGATGTGGCCTGGCAAGAATCCTGGATTTCAGCAACCAGGTTTCTTGAGCAAAGAGATCATATCTCGTAATTTTCCTGGATGACTAACTCCCACTTCCAAAGCCAATGCTGTCATACAAGGCACAGTGCCCAAGTGTGATCACTCCCTGGGGATGTCAGGCGGAGCTGGTTTGACCAGGGCAGGTCTTTTACGTAATTCGCTAGGCAGAGGTGCTTATAAGGTTAAATTGTACTGAGCAAGTCCCTCCCCGACCCTGGGGAAGTTTCTAGGCTGGGCCAAAGCTCTGGTGCCAGCAGGGCCTGGGGCCAGGACTGCTCTAGTTCAGGCAGGCTTAGGAAAGGGGAGAAAGGTCACAGAACATGCTGGCAACCATTTGCAATGTGTCCTCTCTACCCCTACTCTCTTTTCCCAATTCCTACCATTCTCTTCTCTTTTCAGGAAACATCTTTACCCAGCAGCCAAGTTACTATAATGACCTGGATGAAACGATGCCCACCATCCTTCAGGTATTAACACTGAGCCCTGCCCGGGGAGGGTGAGCTTGGGAAGCAGACCCCCTCCCCACCTGATGGTTACCTTGACTTTCCTGAGCCTGGCAGAAATGCGTACCCCCACACCCCTGTAGTCCCATCTCCAGAAGGCCTCAGCGTCCCGCTCCTCACCATACCCCCTCAAATTTGTTCTTTCCCATCTTGAACAGGCTGAAATCTAAGGGCTGTCAAGTACTGTTCTCATACAGAAGAGCTTGGCTTGCGTTTTGTGTTTGCTGATAGTCATAGCCTCTCAGACTACCCCTTTAAGGGAGCTAGGTTTCTAAATAAGAGCTTTAAAGTTTTATAAAATAATTTTATGCAATAATGTTCACTGTAAAAAGTTGGAAAATATTAAAAAATAGAAAAGGGAAGATACATATTCCCCTGTGATTCCATCCCATCCTCAGGAGATATCCACCATTTATGGTTACTTACAGAATACTGTTGTCCCTCTGTATCCATGGGTTCCAAAAACACCTTATATATTGCTGAATGTATATCGTAAATATTACCATATACTGGCCCATCCTCTCCAGTCAAATAACATCTGCAGGATTCCAGGGGCTCTACATACACTTTGTCTTTTTAATCCTCACCATAATCCTGTAAAAAAAATACCCCATGAGCTCTGTTTTACACAGTTTCCACTCTGACCCTGCTCTCAGAGAAGGTCATTGTCTCAGCTGGTGTCCCAAGAACACTGGCATAGATTCCAGAGTCCAAGGCATTTTTCAGATCGCCCATGCCTGGCTGCAGGACAGGGGTCCTAGCTGTTGGTTCAACAGGTTGTGGGAGAGTCACCTCTTGTGTTTTACAGGTCTTCAGCAATATCCTCCAGCACAGTGGTTTGCAAGGGGACGGGGCCAGTGCCACACCCCAGAAGCTTGAAGAGAAGGGCCGGTTGACCCCCAGTGACATGCCTCTCCTGGTGAGGTTCCCCTTCAGCCCAGCCTCTTTCTGCCTAATAGAGGACCTAGCAGCTTCCTCCCCTGCTCACGGTCCCTTTCCCCAATTCTGTAAGCACCTATTCCCATCACATTTAGAGCATGTCAGCCGGCTTTCATTTTTCTCTGGAAGCTTCATTTTGGGAGTAGAGGAATGAATAGGGAACTGAAATTCAGAGGACAAGAATTTAGTTCAGCTCAACAGGTTCATTCACGTGCTATTTTTTGAGCTATTCATTCATTTAGTGAATTTGTACTAAGGAACCCCTGCCACATGCCAGGCCCTGTGCTGGGTCTTGGGTGTAAAGCAGAAAGCAAAAGCAGACGTGTTGTCTGCTCTCATGGAACTTAGAGTCTCGTGCTGATGACAGGCAGAAGGTAAATATTGAAGCCTGGACATTTGCCAGACCTTGCTTGAAGCACTGGAGACAGAGCAGGAACAAGGCAGCTGTGAGCTGATGTCTTGGAGCTTGTGATCTCTTGGGAAAACAGTCACCAACAAATGTTTCAGAAAGAGGCACACCAAGTGCTGTGGGAGCAAGTCATTTTACTTCCCTGACCCTCAGTGTCCTTATCTGTAAAACAGAGATTCTAACAGCTTCCCAGCTCATAACAATTCTCATGAGTTGTCATGACAATCAGGAAAGTGTATGAGAAAACACTCCCTATTCTGAATACCTTCTTCCAAATGTAAAACAAGTGTGGGCTTGATATTTTTGTTCTCTCTGGGATGTACTTTCTATGGGGGACCATAGGCATTATGTTCGGATTCAGGGTTCGTTCTCCTTCAACTAACCCTAGAGATCATGGGATGTGCACCCATTGGAGCTACGTAGCAAAACCTGAGGCTTAGGGAGGTTGAGTGACTTGCTCAGATTGTTCTAGAGAAGGATCAGCCAGGCCTTGCCCAAGCCTCCAATGTTTTCTTTACGTCATGAGGCATCTGCCTGTTGGGGACCCCTGGCTTTGTCAACTTTGTCTCAGACCCTCTACAGAGCTGTAACAAGGAGGCAGAAGAGAATAATGCAGTTTTCTTTTGGCAACAGGAATTAAAGGACATTGTTCTCTACCTTTGTGATACCTGCACTACGCTCTGGGCCTTTCTGGATATCTTCCCTTTGGCTTGCCAAACCTTCCAGAAACACGACTTCTGTTACAGGTACTGTGATAGTTCTGGCTGTTGAAATAGAAGTTCTAGTTCGCGTCCTCGTTCAACAAGTATTTACTAGGCGCTTAGAACGTGCCAGGCCCTACTGCAGCCTGGGGACATAGAAATAAAGAAGGCAGATAAGGCTTCTGCTTGTGTGGAGCATGCATTTTAGAAACGTTACCATTTTTAGCTAAGAACAGGGTAGGGGAGAAAAAAACCAACAACAAAGAATAGAGCAATTTCAATTCAATTCTTTTTTGTATCAAGGCCCCTATCCTGGGCCAGTGCAAGGGAGTAACAGACAACAAGAAGTGGTGGAGGGCTTCAGCATCTAGACCAGGGCAGAGAAACACACACCAGGAAACAAGCAGATATGCTTGTATGTGGCGCGGACTGTTGTGGCCGTATTATGAAATGCTCTGGGAACACGGGGGAGGGAGGCAGAATTCTGTCTGGTAAAATAAGAGATTTTGTGATAATCCTTAAACAAGGTTTGGAAGAATGAGAAGAACCTTCCAGACAGAGAAAGTTTGCAGTGGCGGGAAGGGCGTGCCAGGCTGGTGGAGTGAAGTCTTCCAAGGCCTCGAGTGTGTTCCTGGGAAAGCCAAGAAGTGGAAGGCGACAAGTGGCAGGTGGAGGGGTGGGGGTGTAGACCAGGGCCCCAGGAAAAGGAGTGGGTAACAGAGAGGGATGGCTCTGGGGGAAGCTGGTAAAAAGTCAAATTGAGAGGAGCCTTAAACACTGTCAGGGAGTGGCACTTTTATTCTGTAGGCAGGAAGGAGACACTGGAGGTTTTTATCCAAAGTCACAGAAAGATCCTGTTGGGATGAAGCAAGAGGTAGAGGCAGACACAGAGCAGGGACGAAGACCCCTTTGCCCACTTAGCACCATAGGCATCTGTTTCTTCCTTGTGCACAAGAAAGGGGTGTAAGGCATGGGCTGGTAACCTACATGTTGCCTGGCAACAGTGGGGCTGGCCTGTTCACCGTGACCTCCGGCTGTTGCTCTTGCCAGGCATCTTCCTCCACTGTTTGCAGGAGTTCTGGGAGCTGCCCAACTCTGTCCACCTGGCCGTCAGTCCATTCAGTCATTTACTCACCCATTCAACAAAGCATTTATCTTGCACTGACATTTGCCAGAGGTGGCAGTAGTGTCCTGACTCCTTTTGGGTCACCTCAGCTCACAAAAATGAGACATTAGGATTGATTGGCCTCCCGCAGAATGTTAGAATAAAGCACTGACCGACACTTTCCAAGAAGAAAGGGGTTAGGATAGGACTGTATCTGGCCATTTTTTGAAAAAAGTTATCTTTTCTCATAGTAAATGTGGCAAATGCTCTTAGCAATTTGGAAAAGCCCCAAAGTTAGGAAATTAAAATCACTACAACAGATCACATTATTTTTGTGCCCAGCTTATTTTCATTTCTCACAGGCATTTTCCTCTCTTGTTACAGCATCTCCCAACTGTGGCACAGGTTGCTTTTGAAAGTCTTTGGAGTTGGGGGGTAATTTTTGGAAGAACTGGCTCTCCTGCAAGGGATAGTGGAGGCAGAGGAGCAGCTGGACTCACCTCAGGGTGAGGGGGGAAGAAAGGAAAACACTTTGACTGAAAGTGACACTGCCTTTGCCAAATGACACTGCCTCTGACCCACAAACAGCCTGGGGCTGGCCCAGCCGTTTGAACTGTGTTGGAGGCCAGGAACGCCCAATGACCAATGCAGTAACCTCAGTCCCCGAGAACTTTCGGCCAGGGGTCACAGTCACCAAACAGCTCGTTAGCTAATCCCTCTTATAACAACCCTCTCCTCCTTCCTCTTAGTATATCTGAATCTCACTCGCTCTGTGTTCTGTAATTTTATGAATGAATAATGCATTTACATGGTTCAAAACTCAAAAAAAGTATGAAATACATAGTGATGTCCCCCTCTCTCTGTATTCCAGTTCTGTTCCTAATACGCAACCATTGTTCTTAGTTTTTCGGTGGAATTTTCCAGAGATATGCATATACAAGCAAAATGCATATTATATCACCCAGCCTCTTTTAAAAATTTAATGCTGTCATATGAATACTCTATGTACTGTGTTCATTGTACTTTTAAAATTAATGTATGTGAGTGCATAAAGCACCCTCAGTCTTTGGTATGGCTGGATCCCATACCAGATCCCATGGATCTTTAGGATTTTTTCAGTTGTTTGCTATTATAAAAAAAAAAAATGCTGTAAAGAATAAATTTTTGTCTATTCATTATGTCATACACCTGAAACTAATATAAAATAATATCGAATGTAAACTGTAATTAAAATAAAATTTCAACAAAATAAAACAAAAAAAGAAGAACTTTGCACATACATTTTGCTTCTTTGCAAGTGTTTCTGAGGAATAAATTCCTAGAAGCATTGCAGAAGCAGATGGTATATGCATTTTAAATTTTTATAGATCTTGCCAAATCACCCTCCATAGGAGTTGCTCCGACATATGCTCCCACCAGCAATGTATCCTGGCAACACCTGAACCTGGGCCAAACTGCCCTCTCTGTCTTCTGGGTGCCATCCTATGTGCCTAGCGAGGTCTGCCTCTTTTGGCCTAGTTACCCTCTTCTGCATACAACACTACCGTAGGCTAGAAGTTGCCAGAAGTCAGCCAACTGACAGACAAATATTTACAGAATGCATGCTACAGATTCAGCACTGTCCTAGGCATATAGGCTGTATTTCTGTATTTGGGAAACTCGGATGTTCAGAGATAGAATTACACAACCTAAGGGAGGTAGCTGCATTTATGTTCTAAGGACGACATATTCCGAGTGCTATACGTTTGGTTCTGGGAATGTGTAATCACATGGGTGAGCATGACGAAGAAGCGTGTGGCTGGCTTAATTGAAAAAAAAAAAAAAGAAGCAGCAGCAGCAGCAGCAGCAGCAGCATGTGGCTGGAACGGAGAAATTCCAGCTGTGAAGGGGTGGGCGTGAGGTTGCTGTGATGAGAAGAAGGCTGTGCCAGCTATGGATGCACCAGAGAGAGGAATTACCGTTTGATATCGTAGGAGGTAGGCAGCTGCTGGAACTTTCTGAGCACAAAAAAGAGTGACCTGTATTTGTTTCTCAAATGTCAGTGAGTCCTGGGTGGCCATGTCATTGCTCTGTTAGAATGAGCCTATCAGATGATTTCGCATCTGAATGGGAGAGCAACTGGTCACTTCCTAGGGACCTCTTCCTAGGACTCACCAAAATGGGACAATCTGGGGTGAGCTTAGAGAAGAGCCAGGGTCGTCCTAGGAGAAAATTTGGGTGACATTTTAGGAACAGGAAATGAGCCTTCCTACTCCCTCGAGTTGGTTTTGATTTTCTAATGAAGTGCAGTATTTATGTACTAATTTAGCCTTTTACCCATGTGTGCCTCCACAGACTTGCTTCCTTTTATGAAATAGCAATTCCTGAGCTGGAGTCTGCAATTAAGAAGAGGAGGCTTGAAGACAGCAAGTGAGGCGGGGACAAAACTCTGAGTATTGTTGTGGTTGAAAGAAGCCTGAGCAAAGGCCCTGCTTCAGCACCCTCATCTCTAACATAAGGGGTGGGACAAAGGACTCTGCAACTTTGGCTGCTGCATCCCCTCTGAGCAGCCTGCCTTGCCCCTGCATCTAAGCCTTTTCCTCTCAGCTATTGCTCTAAGTTTTGTTAACCGGCCTGCTGGTTCCTGACCCACTGTTTGAACTGAGAAGTGGCCCTGGAACCAGCCAGCCTCTCAGAGCCTGTAGGCTTTTCCCAGCTGCTGTCAACAGTGAACTGTGAGGCCTTTTCAGCCCAGGGTGTGTATGGGGGCAGGGTGGCAGTGCGGGGAGGAACCTGCAACTTCTGTGATTAAGCTCCGTCCGTGCCTTTTGCCTCTCAAATCTCTTTCTTTTTCACTCCTGGCCATCAAAGGCTGCTAGGTGACTTGTGGCAGAGGCTGTCCCATTCCAGGAAGAAGCTGCTGGAGATTTTCCATATCCTTCTGAACCAGATCTGCCTTCTCCCTGTCCTAGAAAGCAGGTAACCCTTGGAAGCCACCGTCCAGGTGGAAAACCCCCCCTCCCCAAGCCTAGAGGGGGCGTTTCCCTCACATTATCTGTCCCCTCCTGTGCCCATGTTGCTGAGCAGGACGGTTTCCTCCAACTGGCCAGAGGCCTTGCACAGGGTGGGGCGAGGTGGGCAGGGAAGGAAGCTGCATATCACCTGCACTGAGTGAGCTCATCTTGCCTGGTGTCCTGTTCCAGCTGCGACAGCATTCAGGGCTTCATTGAAGAGTTCCTTCAGATCTTCAGCTCTTTGCTGCAGGAGAAGAGGTGAGTGTGGCTGAGCTGGGACCGGCTGTGGGACAGGCCCATGGTGCTTCGTCAGTCCCCATAGGACCTTTCATAATAGAGCCCCTGGCATCACCACCACAGTCTACGGTTCTGGAATTTGTGGTTGGGCAGCAGACACAGGGAATGGCCCATAGCAACCCAGTGCCCCTGTGGCCCAGCCCTGTCCCTCCCATCTGCTCTCTGCCTGGCAGGTTTCTCCGGGACTATGATGCACTCTTCCCTGTGGCCGATGATGTCAGCTTGCTGCAGCAGGCTTCGTCAGTCTTGTATCCTTCTACCACGGACACTGGGGTAGGACCTGGACTGACCAGGCCAGCGATGGGCTGCTGGAGCCCAGAGTAGCAGAGGGACGTTTATCCCAGGACACACAGGTCAGCCAGCTTTCCTTAGATGCCCAGACCCCTGCCAAGGCTCCAGCCCCCATTTCTGGTGGAGATGACTTCTCTGGTCCTCAGAGCAGGCGACATACAGTCCGCTGTCTCTAGATGTTCACTGAGGGCCTGGGCTTGTGTGACTAAGAGGGCCTCAGTGCTGTCCTCATAGACCTCACTGCAGGACAGAAAACAGACAGCTAAACAGGCAGTTAGCTAAAGTGTCACATGGGAGAGAGTCAGAGGGCAGGGTGGCCGGGGAGGCACCTAACTTGGCAGAGCTCGGGTGGGAATGTCATGCAGAAGTGAAGTTCATACTGAGAACAGCAAAAGGAATAGGAGATGGCCACACTCCAAGCTCGGTTTCCATGGACAGAGGGCAGGGCAGGCCCACCTGGACAGCCCACAGACATTGAGCGCAGATCTCAAGGTGGGGCTGAGGGGGTGGGTGCTTATGGGAGGGGGTTAGGATATGGCAGATGATTTGGGGGCACAGCCCTGGGATGACCCTCCCTGAAAACTTTGAGCACTGTCCTGCAAGCACTGGGGAGCTGTGGAAGGGTTAAAGCAGGGGTGACAGGGTCAGCTTTAGACTTCAGAAAAGCTCCATCTGACACAGGAACGAGAGTAGACTGGCCTGGGACCTCTCTGAGGCCCAGGAGCTGGTGAGGATGCTGTCGCTGGCATCCAGGCATGGCCAGTGGGGGTTCAGATTAGAAGTGGAGTGAGGAAGCCTAGGGAAACTCTAAGGTGTCTGGCTTGGTGGTGCCCAGGTGGTAGAGAGGGAGGAGAGACAAGGAGGAGCAGGCCTGTGGGCCATTTCAGTGGCTGGGGTGAGTTGCTCAGTCCTGTCTCAGAGGCGCCCAGTGGCCTCCAGCCTCTGCAGAAAGCCCTCAGGTGGCTGGACAGGAAGCCCACTGACAATGCCTCCCGGGGGTGAGTGCGGAGGAACTCCTGGTTCATCCAAACACCGTGTCCCAAGGTGCTCTGATGCCAGGCTCTCCTGTCCCTGTCTACCCAGAGCTGCTTTCTGCCAAGCGGCAGGTACTGGGTTTTAAGGCCAGTGTGGCCGTGGTCCAGTCTTTCCTCATGCAGCCTGGTGCCCGTGACACCCGCTGGGGTGCCTCCCAAGACAGCCCCGGCAGAAAGCGTATGATCACATGCTGGGAAGAGATTGCGAAATTATGCTGCCTCAGAGCCGAGGAGGCAGAGAGGGCTGTGGCACCTTGGAGAGAGCCCTTAACACTTCCTCACAGAGATGAGACACGGACTGCCTACATCCTCCAGGCAGTGGAGAGTGCGTGGGAGGGGGTAGACCGACGGAAAGCCACAGGTGCTAAAGACCCACCAGTGGCTGAGGATCTTAATGGGATTATGGCGACAGCAGAGCCAGTCAGTGGACCGTCATCACACCTGGAAACCTCGGAGGAAGTAGAGGTGTGTGTGACCAGAGTGGCACTTCCTCCCTGTGTCAGCCCCTCCAGTCCCCATCTCAGAGGTTGGAGCAGCAGGAAACTTTTCTTTGTTTCTGCTCAGGGAAAAAGGTTTCTTTTGGAATGGGCAGCCTCAAAATGCTGGTTAGTTCTGTGCTTTAGAAGGTCCTGAGCCGAGGGCACACTGGACTGGGTGTAAGGAGAGGAGAGAGCCAGTCTCATAAGTGTCAAAGCCTCCGCTTCCCCTCTAGCCAGTGAAGCAAAATCGTCTCTCCTCTGCACAGAGCACAGTGGAGCTGCTTTGGTTGCACTTGGGTACAGTATCAGGTCTCACTGTTTGGCCACCCTGGAAGCCCCTCCATTGGACTGCTGGGCTCCACGGAGCCAGTTTGGAAACCTCTCATCTAGTGCTTTCTCTCCAGGCCTTTCCAGAACTCTCCAAATCTGTGGCTGTATCGCTTGGCCACGGAGCCCAGGACTCCCCTGTGTGTCTGGAGGCAGCATGACATAGTGATTAAGACCACACAGGCTCTAAAGGAAGGCAGCTCAGGGGTGTATTCTGGTCCTGCCACTCGCCAGCTGTGTGGCCTTAGGCACAATCACTCACATTGAGCCTTAGTTCCTCATCGGTAAGATGGTGCTAGTCACCTCCATGAGCTCGTGGGGATTCCCAGTGCTGCTGTGTGGAGCTCTCTGAACTTAACTGGCTCTCGATGCCTTGATGCCCCGTTAATAGACGCTGATGTCCTGTTAATAGAAACCTGACACCCAGGTGCCATAACTGTTGAAGGGCCTTGGGGAATGACAGTCCCCTCTGCCTCTTCCCATCCTCTTCCCCATTTGCCTTTTTTTCTGAGTCATAGAAGACTTTGGTTATTTTGATTTGGGAATTTCCTTAAATGAAAAGCCTAACAAAATTAAGCCACATCAAGAAGTCTATAAACCGTATCCCTTATTGAAAAAGCATATAATTAAAGAGGAGTACCTCCACACAGCCCACGCCTGGTGGTTGCTGTTCCCCTCCAGTGCCAGCCATCAGCCTGTTGGAACTGAAAGGGACCTTGGTTAGTAGAAGCTGTGGCTGTTTATGGAGAGCCCAGTCTGTGCCAGGCACTGCACTTGGCACTTCATGTGCATTATTTCCTTGAACCATTTGAAGCAACCCTGTGAGGTGAGTGGTAGTAAGTATGCTTGTTTTATAAGGAGGAAGCTGAGGTTCAGAGAGGAGGAGCACCCCACAAGGTGGCACAGACAGAAATCGCTCACTCAGTAAGTCCTAGAGCTCCCTTTTTCACAGGGAGGAAATGGAGGCTCAGAAAGACTTGAGTCACTTGACTAAGGTGGTACAGCAAGTAAGGGCCAGGCCTCATATCAGGTCCCCCGATTCCTGGTCCAGTGCTGTTTGGGGCCTGTTGCTCTGGCACCCACCTGCCCTCGCCTTCTGCCTTCACTCAGCTCTCCCCACAGTGCTTGGGGGCAGCTGCTGCCCTGGACCCCCCCGTGAGTGGTGTGGAGCTGGACTCCCTCATCTCCCAAGTGAAAGACCTGCTCCCGGACCTCGGTGAGGGCTTCATCCTGGCCTGCCTGGAGCACTATGGCTATGACCCGGAGCAGGTGATCAACAACATCCTGGAGGAGCGGCTGGCCCCTGCCCTCAGCCAGCTGGACCGCAGCCTAGACAGGTGGGAGAGACAGGTGGGAGGAGGCTCACAGCACCCTGTCTGCTTCAGGGTCCCGGCGAGAGGGCTCTGCAGGCCCTGGTCAGGGCCCCTTCGCTCCTCTGCCTCCCGTTCTTCCTTCCCTCATGTCCCAGGACTCAGCTTGCCCTCTCTTTCCCAGAGTGGTGTTTCCTGACTTATGCCCTTTTGGGGGAAACACAAAAGCCGTAAGGCCCTCAGGAGCTTCTCACATGCCCCCTGTAAGGCAGAGAGCACACAGCTGGACATCCCTGCTGTACCTGAGAGAAGACCAATTAGAGACACAGGATGCAAAAGGAGTGGGTGAGCCCTTTAGGGCTCCGAAGTTACTGGCTTGCCCCTGTTGTTGCTGCCTTCCCAGTAGATTCCTGAGGAAGAATGGCTAAAGCTCACTTCCTGCATGCCTACCCTTTCTGAATTTGGCCTACTGCTTCCCCGAGAGCTCTTGGGGTAGCAGGAATGAGTGATCAATGGGTGTTTCTTCCATGAACAAGTGGATTGTTGGAAGTAAATTGTTAGCTCTGCCTTTGGACAAGTTCCTCAGCCTCTCTGTGCCCATTTTATAGAAGAGGGCACTGAAGCACTAAGAGATTAAGGGATCTGTGACTATCCACCTCAGAGCTGTTCTGAGCATTAAATGGGGGTGGGTACTTTTAAGAAAATCTGTGTGAATGGCAAACAAGACCAAAGGGGAGCTTTGTGTAAGATGTGGGTCATCCAGGCAGGAGCCAGATAAGGCAGGTGTTTACCTTGTGTCCCAGGTGTGGCTGTTGTGGGAGGGTGGAGAATCTGAACATGGTAGTGGGGAAGGGGGTGCAGGCAGGCATCAGCCGGCAAGTCCCCCTCACATTGATTTCACCCCCCAGACAGGTGAAGCCAGACCCGACGCCTCTACTGACTTCTCGTCACAACGTCTTCCAGAACGACGAGTTTGACGTGTTCAGCAGGGACTCAGTGGACCTGAGCCGGGTACACAAGGGCAGAAGGTGAGTGTAGTGGGCTGTAGGGTTCCAGGCATGCCAGCTCCGCAACTGCTGCCAGAAAGGGAAAGAAACAGGGGCTTCATCTGTATGCGACTAGCCTGAGTTCAGCTCAGGGCTCCCTGACAGCCCATGACCTGTGTGCTCCCAGCAGGTGGGGGCAGGTTTGGTTTTTTTCCTTTTCTTTCCTTTTCAATTGGGTGTGGGTTCTTTAGCAATTATACTTCAGGCTCTGACTCTGCATAGGGTGTTTTTAGTGACTCCTCCTTGTTGATAGCAAAAGACCAGAGGGGCCAAAACTCTCCCCTTCCTCCTACACCTTTGGTTATGCTGACCATCGAATCTCGAGAAGGTAGAGCTGGGCAGCGCTTCCCAGAAGCCTCTCCTTGACCTGATTTTCTGCAGTGTGTGACAAAAGGAGAAAAGTAAGGATCTCTACTGAGTGAGTGTTTCTGAAGGTGAACATGTTTCACTTTAAGGCCTTACTACATACTGTATATATAGATAATGTCCTTCCTGCTTTTTTGGCATTGAAAGACCCTTCATGATTCATTCATTAATTCATTCAACAAATATTTGCCCAGAGCTGTTGGCCTTCCAGGCCCCAGATTTATTAGTTCCTAGGGATGTAGCGGGGAGTGAAACAGACATGGCCCCTGCCCACGTGGGGTTTGCACTAATCAACTCATCAAGCAAGCAATGTAAAATTGCAGCTATAACAGGTACCACAAGGTGAAGGTGAGCAGACTTCTAAGCCTCTAGCCGGGGCTTCGATCCAGGCAGGACGGGTCCTCTGAGGCAATGACGAGACCAAGAGAGGAAGGGTAAGGAAGGGTCAGCAGAGGGAGAAAGCAGAAGCTTCCTAAGCAGAGTGAACAGCAGGGGAAGTGGTCCCAAGGCCATGCGGAGCATGGTGATGGTCCCATGAGCCAAAACATTTTATGCTTTGGAAAGATCACCTGACTTTGGAATGGAGACTTGTGGGAGGAACGGAGAGTTGGCAGTGACGGCAGAGAGGACAACGTAGTAGAGAATGGCAAAATGAGACGTTGACAGCACTGTGCCGATCTCCCAAAGTTCTCCTAAATGGTGTTGCTTTATGAAATCCAGAAATCTGGGCACTGCTGGACAAGTGCAGCCTGCCCTTTCCCTCGTCCTGTAGATGGAGACAGTGCAGTTCAGACAGCGGAGGGGGGGGCGGGGACGGGCCTGACCTGTTCTTTTGATAGGAGCCCAGTGACGGGATTGCAGGCTGCTGCTTCAGTGGTGGCCCTGTACTATTTCCCCTCCCTAGGGCCGTCCAGTGCTGGAAGCTTGGCTGGCCAAGTGCTTAGGGAGCAGGCACAGGACAGCTATAGTTATCTGGCTGGCTGGACAGGAAGCAATTGTAATCTGCTTAGTCACACACATTGCAACATCCCCAGATCGTAGGCCAGAGATGGTATCCTGCATCAGTGGCCACTGTTCAGGCCTGAATGACCTTCCATAGCCTCTGCTGTGGGAAAAGGGGCAGACAAGGAAAGCTGTGCCACTGCTCATAGGACACTCCAGGCTGCCAGGCAGAGAATCTGGGTGACAGATGATTACTGAACTTATTGTGACAGGTAGCCCAGGGGCTGAGGTTTGCAAAGAGGCAAAGCCTCCATTCATGTGTTTGTTATTCATTCAGCAAATATTTATTAAGCAATTTACTAGCTCCAAGTCCTGTGCTAAACAGTAGGGAGACAACGTGAACAGGGCACCCGGGGCTTGCCCTCAAATGGCGGAGACCGTGGGAAAGACTTAGACCATTAAATAAGCAGTGATAAAGTGGGAGAGGTGCTGGCATGGGGCATACAAGGGCCTCAGTGGGGACACCTGTCCTAATCTGGGTAGGGCAGAGAGGCTCCGGGCCCTAGGCCCTGCCCTCACAGACCACAAGAGAAATTAAGCAGCACAAGGCAGGTCACACTTGAATTAAAATGTGTGTGTGTTCTTAAATTAGGTTGGATGTACTCAGTGGCTCAAATAATAAGGAAATCCATTCCCTTGCATGACCAGAAATTACAAGCTAGGACAGCCTCAGCTTTGTTAACCTGTGGGCAGCCACACCATCAAGGATCATCTTTTCCATCTCTTGGAGCTGGTTTCCTCAAGGCCACTGGGTTGCTCCTTCTGTTTGAGCCATCATCTCCAAAAATGACAGTGCCAAGAGGAAGTCCAGACCAGGTCTTCCTCTGTCTCTCTTAGAGACCAGGAAACCTTTCCCAGAAGCCTCCAGAATCCCCCCACATCTCACTGGGGAACTGGGTCACAGGAATGAGGTCCAGGGCCCCAGGAGAAGGGGGAGGCGGGAAAGACCTGAACAAAATGAGGGACTGTTAGGGGTGGGGATGAGATTTAAGGGGTGGGGATGGGATAGAAGGTGGCTATTGGATTGTTAGCCTGGCACAGGTGCTGCAGATGTGTCACAGCTAAATGAAGGAGGCAATGTGTATAAGGTGGGGTCCCCTAACGCCTTTGGACTTAACAGTGGTACCCTGGAAGATAATCAGGGTCTACTCCAAAAAAAGGTTCTGTGGCCAAAAATGTCTGGGCACTCTGCCTCTAGGAGAGTCACAGAGCACGTTAAAGACTCTGACAAGTCCTACAGTAAAAGAACTAGGATTCACTTTAGGGAGCCCAGCAGGGGCCAGGTCCGCCTCTACTCATTTTCTCTTACATCATCCCTGGGAGGCAGAACTAAGACTTGGCAAGGATAAGGGACTTGCCTGTCGTCACACAGCTCAGGAAGTAGCAGAGCAGACTTGAGTCAGGAGCCCTGTGTTCCTGCCCCTACCCTGCTTATGGAAGCTGTGTGACATTGAGGTCATTGTGCCTCTCTGGACCCCCTGTTTTCTCAGCTGGAAAAGGAAGGGTTTATTACCTCTGTAGGCCCTTTAGAAGTTCAAAGTCGGAGTCACTCTCCTAAGGGCCAGTGTGCGCAGGCCTTGAATAGGCTAGAGAAAGTGGGGAGGGGAAAGGTAGTTGGGCTTGAGCAAACCCTCTTGTTCCCTGGGCTCACTGCCATCTTTAGGAGGCCAGGGAGCCAGGGAAGCAAATTGCTGCAAAGATAGTCTCCAAAGTCACTGCTGCCTGCATTTTCAGACTTGACTGAAGTTCTGGCCCTCACATGGATCTTTTCCTGGCTAGTCTTACCCCTAATTCTTTTTCTTCCTGACTCTGAATGAGGTCATGGGGCCAAAGCCACACCTCCCTAGTTGTGGTAAACAGGGTGCCCAGGCTGCTCTGTCCCTAGCTGTGTTCTCTCCCAGGGCCTGACAGGGTGGGTGAGTTTGCCAGGCTTCTCTATCTGGCCCTGCCAGGGAGCCACGCACAGAGACCACCAGTATAAAAAACTGTCCTCCTTCCCAGAACCTGGGACAGTGTGGACCAGGAGCCATGGGATGTAGCAGAAAAGACAGTGATGCCTCTCATTCGTCTTTGGTCCCCTGGCCCAGTGCAGATCTGGGCACCTAGTAGGCCCTCAGGAAATGTGCGTTGAATGAATGGATGTGCTCCTACCAGGGGCAGCAACTACTAGTACAAGCTTGGGCCCCTTTCACTTCCTCTACTTCTTTCCTCTCCAGCCCCCACCTTGGCGGAGAGAGCCAGGTAAGGGCCAAGGTCACAGTCACAAGACCTCTTTCTTGGTGTGATGTGAAAGATTTCTGTGGATGGAGATTTTTCCCTTGTCTAGATCAAATGCCCTTCCACAGCAGAGCCTCCATTACCCCTTCCCCATACCCCCAGCTAGGACCTCTGAGCCAGAGTTCATGCCTCCTTCCTCTGAGCTTCCATTCAGCACATTTCCTGTTGGCTGCTATTTTCCTGTTGGTTACCCCCACTAGACTGTGAGCTCCACAAGGTCAGATTCTCTTACTTCTTTCTGAATCTCTCCCCAACTCAGCCCAGTACCCTGTCCTGCTTGGCACATTGCAGGCCCTTAGTAAAAACTGTTGAAAGAAGTCCAACCCTAACCCGCCATGCAGGGGGCTGCAGTCCTGACCCGCCCTGGGGTCAAGGGCTGCCAGACAGACTCAGACGGCTGCTCCTCCCTGCACCAAAAGCCAGTTAATAGGAGGTTTTTATGGAAGCTGTGAGTGCTTTGTGTACCTCCCCCCACCACCCCTTGATACATTCCAGAGACCTGATTTCACAGCTAAGCTGGATTTTCTTGCCTAGCATCTCATATTGATTTTCCCCTGTAGGGCTCAAAACTACATTCCACAGGCCTCTGTGTCTGACAAGCCAGATTTTTCTACAGATTTGCAAAGCCATGAGTTAAGAGCCCTGAGTCCCCTCTGTGACTGTGCTACAGATCACGGAACCCAGGCAGTCCCTCCCCTTCTCTGTACCTGAGTTTCCTCACCTGCGATAGGAGGGCGTGGAACTTCCAGGCACTTTTCCTCCAAGCAATCTGACATGGAAGATTGAACATAGACCAATTAGAAGGCCACTGTAGTGAAGTAGGGGTGAGAGAATGAGGCTGGGACACCTCCTGACCCCTCACACTCCTAAGGCCCCATGGGACTCCCCTGAGCTCAGCAAAAAAAAAAAAAAAAAAAAAAAAAACCCACCACACATGGCCTTACTCGTTCTTAAATGTTTGTTTTAAAAGATTCAGATAATCCAGGGCCTTCCTGGGAGTCACCCTTGTCATTTGGTGGGGGACTCACTAGCCCCTCTTTGTGCATTTAGGTACATAGATATATATGTGCCCACAGGAACGGATAGTTGGTCTTGTTTGCTTTCAGAGTTTTATGTAGACCAGATCGTATGTGTTTTCCAGTAGCTGGGCTTTCTCCTTGTCAGAATTCTTTCTCCGTCAGCACAGATAGATCGTCATTGTGGAGAACTTGCGCACGGTGTTCTGTGATACAGACGTGGCACAGGTCATTTGGCCATTTCACCAGTGGTGGACATGAGTTGCTTTCCATTTTCACTGTTATCAAACAATGCTAAAGAGAAAGTCCCCAGGGAGAGCTCTTGGTGCACACAGCCAGTGCTTCTCTAGGGCGGACGCCTTGAAAGGGTATTTTCTGGTTGAAGGGTAGGCACATTTTCTGTTCTAACAGCTACTCCTGGGATGCCCTCGAAAGGACTGGGCATGGTCACATGGGTGCCATCAGCTGTGAGTCCCACCTGCTCACACCCCTCCAGTGCTTGGTATTGGTTGTTCCATTTTGTGCTTGCTTGAGGTGTGAAGAAGGGGACCTGTGGTCTCTCTGGAGGCTTAATGCAGCCTTCAATGCCTGATGCTTCTTCTTCTCTCCTTCACTGTTTCCTCTCACCAGGAAGGGGGAGAACACGAGGAGCCTGCTGAACGACAAGCGGGAGGTGGTGGCTCAGCGGCAACGCTATGAGCAGTATAGTGTGGTGGTGGAGGAGGTAGGTGTCCGCAGGCCACAGGGCTTGTGCCGGGTCGGAGAGGCCAGCCAGCCCCTGGGCCCCTCCGACCCACACTTTTGGGCCATTGCAGGTGCCACTGCAGCCAGGTGAGGGCCTGTCCTACCGTGGTGATGACTATGAGGACGAGTATGATGACACGTATGATGGCAACCAGGTGGGTGCCAACGATGCCGACTCCGACGATGAGCTCATCAGCCGCAGGTGAGGCTCTAGGGCAGGCAGAGGGTGGAATGCTGGGGGCAGAGTGGCTTTCGGGCCCTTGGGGCTCTCCCATAGCCTCTTGTTTTTAAGGATGGAAAAGCCAAGGCCCTGGCCGTGTGAGCAAGTCAGTGGCAGAACCAGGGCCGAAACCCAGGCCTCCTGACTCCTAGTCCAGTGCTCTCTCCAGCCCGAGTCACACCCTTGGCTGGTTGGTCCAAACCACCCTGATTGGGAACCCATTAATTTGGTTTCATGTAGCAGTTTTACATTGCTCTTAATTGCAGAAAATTTTGCCAAGTGGAATCATATGGAGATTACTCAATACAGATAAAAACAGAACTAGAGAGCCCCCACAGCTCCAGCTCAGTCTCCCCTAAATCCACACGTCAGACTCTGCTACCCTCAAAAATCCAGGGGCTGGAACAAAGCTGGCTTGAAAAGCACTTTGGTATTTCTGGGCCTGCTGAGCCTGTCCCATCCGCCCCCCTCCCCCAGCCTGATTCCCTCTTCCCTGAGGCTCTCTGAGTTTAATCTTGTCTTTGATCTTACTTTCTCTCTAAACCCTTAGGCCCTTCACCATCCCTCAAGTGCTAAGAACCAAAGTGCCCGGAGAAGGGCAAGAGGAGGATGACGAGGAGGAGGACGAAGCTGAAGAGGAGGCCCCCAAGGTACCTTAGCAGGTGGCCGATGAAGGGAGGGAGCGTGCAGTCCTAAAAGGCAAATGGAGAGCACTGCACCCTCCTTCCCTGTTGGCCTCGAGGCAGCCCCAGCACCACTGCTGAGAGAAGGAAGCACCTTTGAGCCCAGATGTCTGCTGGGAGGGCTGCTGGCTTAGAACTCACCTCTGCTGCCCAGTCAGGGCCAGGGAATGGCTCAGAGGCTGCTGGGTTCATTAGTCCCAGGAGCCTGGGGGCCAGGAGAAGGGCAGCTGCCTGCCTCGTGCCTAGGATGGCAATTTTTAAAATCAGAGCGGTGTTAGAGCCCAAGGGCCTTTGGAGGCCATCTGAGCTTGCAGGTTTGAAAATTGCATTGTTTAGCAGCTCAGTGTTTTCTTCAAATAAAATCTTAACTAGAATCTCAACAGTTAAAACAGTTAAAAGTGGTGCTGCTCAGGTTGAATGGAGTGGGAGCCTGTGACCCTCGGATCCCCTGGTGCCCCCCCAACAGGGTGACAAATTCAAATGTGTCCTGGTGGGACCTGAGCCTAGTAGTGGGGCAGGACGCCCTGTCGGGCGGGTGGAGGCAGGGGTGCGCCTTAGGACGAGCATAGGCCAGCACTTCAGGGCTTTCCCTTCTTCCAGGCAGGGACGCTGCCTTTTACATAAAACCTTCCAGTTTTCAAAGCTTACTCATTCTGCTTGCTTTGTTTAGTGTTTTGTTTTGTTTTGTTTTAAATAGCACAAGCCACCACAGTCTGTCTGCAATCTTTAGGTTATTTCTTTTACTCTTCTTAATTTGAGCCCCTTTCACTCTTGGCACAGAAAATGGTCCTCAAGAGTGGATGTTCCCACAACATGCTGCTAGTGGCGGCGCCAGCGTGAGAACAAGTCAGCTTCCAGGGGCGGCTCTCTTGGCTTTCAAGGCCCTACGTGGCCTCTCATGGTGGCCACCCTGGTCTTTCCTTCATTGTTCCCATTTATCATTGTTATACTCCAACCATGGCCACTCACCTACAATGCCTGTCCAGGAAGACCTTGTCCATTTTGCTGTCTCCCCCTTGGGGAATAGGTGGAAGGGACAGAGAAGGAGTCTTCTAATAGAAACCTTGGAACAGGGCAAGCCCACTTCCATTCTGGGGCATTGCCCTGCCATGCAGTGGCCTCCCCCGACCCCTGGCCGGGGGGCATCAGTGAGATTCAGCCAGGCACAGCCTCACCACACCTTAGGGGTATGGGACGGCTCACAATTCTTCCTTCGTCTTCCCTCCACAGCCTGACCACTTTGTGCAGGACCCTGCAGTGCTGCGGGAGAAAGCAGAAGCCAGGCGCATGGCCTTCCTCGCCAGGAGGGGGTGAGATTGAAGGAGCTGTTTCTGGTGGGAGGGAACCCTTCCGGGGAAGTCCCAGCCAAATACCCTGGAAGCCCACACATAAACCCTAAGTGTTTTATGTATGTTAATGTATTTTACAACAACCCTATGACGTAGCTACTGTTATCATTATCCTCATTTTGCAGATGAGGAAGCTGAGGCCCCAGAAATGTTAAGTAACCTGCCAAAGGTTACACAGCTAGTAGATGGTGGAGCGAAGACTGAGTACAGGTGGCTCAACTCTGGGGTTCCACACTTATAAATGTTACTTGACAGACACAAGGAGTTGATCCCCTAGTGTGCAAGCCCAGTGTGCACAGAGCTAGCTGGTGTCAGGCAGAGTGTAAAAAACCCAGACAGTGTGAAAGAGCCCAGACAGGCAGGCAGGCAGGCAGGCAGACATTCATCTTTTATGGCTAAGAGTGGGGCATGGTAGGGATAGGGTGGAAAGGGTGCAAAGGAATTTATCATGTGAGGGCAGAAAGATGAGAAAGTTGCATGTGTGGGCAGGGAGAGGTGTCTGTGGGTGGACAGAGCTGGGAACACAACCAGGGACACCCCGCGTCTTTCCAGTGAGCACATTCTTCAGAGGGGCCAAGGACCTGCCTGTGGTCCCTCCCCCACTGGAGGCCAAGCCAGGGGCGGAAGCCCAGCCCTCCATCCTGACCCTGGGACTCCCCAGCACTGCCCACTTGGTGCGGGAAGCCTCAACAAGGAGGGAAGCCTCAACAATGGATCTCATGAAGGCAGTAAGAGAGAGCCACAGAAGGTTTTTGAGCAGAAAACAGAGTAACTTTGACTTCTCTTCCATCCCAACCCCCTGAGCACAGAGCTCTGGGTAAAGCCAGCAGTTGAGATGGTCTGAAAAGGTCCTAAGTCATGTCTATGGGTGCACTTGGTCTTTGAAGGTCACCAAGCAAGATCCTGGGGTATAGAACAGGAGTATTTTCTCACCTATAGCACAAGGCCCTGGATGGAGAAGGGAGGGGACCCATCCCCAAGCCTTCCTCCTCCCCTTGTGTGGGCTGCAGTCAGCCTGCCAGCTGGTCCTTCCTCACAGCTTAGCCAGGGTCCCCTCTGCAGGCAAGGCTGAGAGAAGGGAGATCATCAGGTACAGCGTTGCCCAGAGCCCCTGTAGCCCCTGCCTCTGCGAGGCTTTATTTCTCTTCCCCTGGAAGTTGGAAGTTAGGTGTCCTGGCCCGAGCTGTGTGTCTGTTCCCAGGGATCTTCAAGGAAGGCTGTGGGCTCTTCCTTTCAGAGCTTGCTTTGGCTGATGGGTTCTCCTGGGGATGGGTTGTTCCACCCTCAGGTACCGGCATGACAGCTCGACGGCAGTGGCTGGCAGCCCCCGGGGCCATGGGCAGAGCCGTGAGACAACCCAGGAACGCAGGAAGAAGGAAGTTAACAAGTCTGCACGAGCCAATCACAACCGGAGGACCATGGCCGACCGCAAAAGAAATAAAGGCATGATTCCATCCTGAAGCCACCACACCAGGGCCATCTGGGAGGCAGTGGTGCCAAATGTGCCAGGCTGCAATTTCTATAGCCCGGGGCCTCCTCATCAGGGCCTCAAGTTCAGCTCGACCCCTCAACAGCCTCAGCTTTGCAGCCCCTGAGAAGCCGCCTCGTTGTCCACCAGCCAGCAGTGAGCACCTTCGTCAGAACACACAGTGCCTTATCCCACAGCAGAGGAATCCATGGGGCCAGCGAGCAGGTGGAAGGGATGGGGACAGAGCCCCAAGGCAAGCCCCCCAGACCTCGTGCAGCAAGACACCACTTCTCTTTTTCCCTGGACGGCAGGAAACCTGTATATTCAAAAACACAAACAAAAAAAGGCCTGCAAATAAAGTGTTTAACCCTTTTAAGCAATCATCCATGACGTGCTCTTGGCCCGCTATCCCTGTGTCCCATTCATTCTTCAGTGACAGCCACTGTCTGGAGAGGAAGAGGGCTGGATGTCGCCATGTTCTTCTCATGAACTTTTCGTGCTCGCCTCTCATTGCAAACCCTCCTGATGTCGCTCTGCCTTGCCGTGTGTCCCTGAGAACGTCACCCCCTTCTCTGAACCTCCAGTCCCAGCTTGTGGAAGAGAGGACTTAGGCTGTGAGTCCCCGCAGTCCTGTCTGTTACCTCATTCAGTCACCACCACCTCCACCCAAGGAGGCAGGCGCTGACGTCTGTCCCAGAGTACAGATGAGGCAGGCGAGGCACTCAGAGGTAAAGGTGCTGCCTAGGCCCCAGCTAGGAAGCGGGGCACAGGGAAGGACACTGAGTCTGAGCCCTGGCATCTATCGGGTTGTAGACCCCCGTGGGTGGTGTCACTGTCTCAGTTGGCCTGAGGATGCTTGGCCAGCAGCAGAGCCAGTACCTGAACTCAGTGTCTCCTAGTTGCACATATACTCAAATCCTCAAAAATTGAGGGGTTGGAGATCAGAAGAAACAAGTGAGGATGTTACTGCCAAGCCCTGTTGGAGTGGGTGGGACTTGGGCCTAGTTCCCGAGAGTCTCCTCCCAGGCAGGGCCATCTGGCTCCTAGCGTGGCAGCCGCTGCCAGGCATCCTGACTCCTGAGCCCCCAGAATGATGCTGAACGATGGTGGATCAACAGGGGGGCATTTGCTGGGCTGATCCTAGCACAGCCTGGCCTGCAGTCCATCAGGGGAAAGCCAGGGCCCCTGCCCAGCTGGACCTTGACAAATCACTTTAGTTGCCAGTACAATTTCTTTGCATGTGGTTAGGATGAGCATCTGAAGCAGCGAGGCAGACAGGCGCTTGATGAATTGGTTTTTTTAGGTCAGCCCGCACAAGTGAAAATCAATAGCAATTCTTCTGTATCATGCCGCTCTCTTGGCGCATTGGAGATGCAGAGCAGATGTGGGGCCGGCGTCCCTGCCTCGCGCTGTCGAATTAGCTGAGATCAGGCCCGGGGTCAGCCACCCTGACAGAGAGCAGGAAGACTGTTTCCTTCTGCAGGCATTTGCCAGGGCAGGGGCAGAGGCCATTCTTTTCTCTGTCACTGAGCGCCTCAGAACCAGCTCTTGTCCCTGGAGTGAAGGGAGGAGGGTTGGTGGGGCTCCCCGGGTTTACTTGTCATACCTGTTGCTATTCATGTGGCCCATCTCCCATTCACTTTGTCATCTGTACCTCTTGACCACCCAGGGTGGTGTGGAGGCCTCACAGCTTCCTGGTGTAAAGGGCCTGAGAAGACAGGAATGATTTTTTAAAATTTTCTGGAATGTAGTGCCAGATCAAATTTAGTCTCCCTTGAGGAACTATGTACTATCTCATTTCAGATCTTGAGGACACCCTTTCAGGGATGCTTTGAAAACAGCTCAGGGGTCATCCAGAATGGTGCTGGTAGGCACACCCTTCCCCTCTTGGAGTCTCAGCTTTCACATCTGCCAAGTGGGTACATTGGACCAGAGGCATGGTTTCCACTTGGTGCCCATTAAATCCTCTGAGGAGGCCCCAAGGTTTCAGGTGGGCAATGACAGAAGTGTTACAGGTGAGGTGGAATGGGGGCCCTGAACCCTGCCCACTGACTCGCTGAGGCCCAGCACCCCTGCTACATTCCTAAGCAGGAATTTGCCAAGTGCCTTCTCCGTTCCCTGGCAGAAAACATGACTACCGCAGGCATTTCCCAGGAAGCTTTTAAGACCTTGTGTGCTTCTGAGAGAACTTAAGACTCGCCTTTGTTTTTGGTCCATGAGTGGCGATGATGGTGACCGTGTTTGTTTGAACGGTGCTTCTGTGCCCCTGCAAGTGGGTGGACAGAGCCTGTCATTGTTTATAAAAGGGAGTTGGGAGCGCAGGGAGTAACTTGCCCAAAGCCCGTGGCAAGGTAGCGGCAGAGCCCGGGTACAGATCCTTTCTGAGGGCCCCCTGGACAGCCAGGTGCAGTCTGGAAGAGTAAATGAATTGTCAAGAACCTGCCTGTCCCTGTTACACAAGGAGCTTGGGGTAAATAATACAGGGAGGGAAACAAAAATAAACATAAAACCACCAAAAATGCAGGGGGGTGTTGTGGAGCCCCCCCCTTTAAATGATGTCACTTACTAACCACATGGGAAACTAAATATTCAACATGTGATCTTAGCCAAAAGGCCAAGACGTGATGGGAAACTAAATATTCAAGAATAATTTTTTTAAAACTTTGAAAGCAGAAAACATGATGGTGTTGCACCGTGACTGAAAATATTAAAGATTTTTGCATACAGACCAAATCTGGGAGGGAATGCACAGAAATGAAGATGATGAGATTACAGTGATTTGTAATGAGAATAAAAACAATTACTGAGTACTTACCATGGCTGGAGTTTCTTTTGGGCTCTTTCCTTGCATTATCTTAATCATCAGATACAGAGAGGGTATGCGACCTGCCCAAGGTCACACAGTCAGCAGGTGACTAAAGAGGGATCCAGTCCCAGAACTGTCTCCTAGAGCCCACGCTCTTAATCCTTAAGCCAAAAGCCATTTCTCTCTTTCCTCTATTCCTGCATCCTTATTACTGTTCTTACAAAGAAAGAAGAAAATAGAAGAATGTAGCTGCAGAACATGAGGATAGGAAATCCCATTTCATCAGGCCAGACTGATGAGATTCCAATTGTGTGTATATTGGACGATTTGATACTGTCTCAGATCTCAGATGCTCTGTTCCATTTTTTTTTTTCACTTTCTGTCTTCAAATTCATTTTTCTTTTCCTCTGCTTATCTAGTCTGCCAGTAAGCCCTCTGAATAGTTCTTTATTTTTGTGCCCTGCCCCTGTTCAGGGGAAGTGGAGAAAAGGCTGGGGGTAGAACACATCAGCTGCGATGGGGACAGCAGAGCCTGGAGAGCGTTGTGGCCTGAGAGGTGCCAAAGGGGAAGGAAAGTCAAAGGGTCCAGGGAGTCTGTGGAAGAAGGTGGAAGAGAGAGAGTGAGTGCCGGAGTTACGGCCACAGACATTTGTCCAGAGCATCAGCTTTGAATGTTTTCTGCCTTTTCTCAGAACTTGAGGCATGGATGGCCAGCCCAGCTGGGAGGGCCCCGGGAGGGGAGGATATGTGTATCCACTCAGCACACGTTCACCAAGATCTGCCAGATGCCAGGCGCTGCACTGGCACATGTGAGAAAGACCTGGAACCCACCCTCAGGCAGTTTATACTCCAAGGGGAATCTGGATGTTAAGACACTTTGGAAAAAATTATTAGTAACAGTTATGCTGAGTCCTAATAAAAGTCAACAGAGTAGAGAGAAAAACATCAATTTGTTGTTCCACTTATTTATGCATTCATTGGTTGGCTCTTCTACGTGTTCTGACTGGGGACTCAACCCACAACCTTGTGGTAGCTGGACAATGCTCCAACAAACTGAGCTACTCAGCCAGAATCCCATAAGGTTTTTTCTAAATCAAAAGGGGCTGGAGCAACAGGGAGGGGCCTTGACTATGGCCTGAGGCTGTTGTTACAATTCTGCAACCTGAACCAAGGTTAACAAATCAGCCTAAAGGTTACCATCTCCAGCCCTTTGTGTTGGGGGGCGGGGGGGGGGGGGGGGGGGGGCATCTTAAAATGAGCATGAAATTCTGACTTCACATCATACTGGAAATACTCCTCCCTCAATCAATAATCATCAAGAGAATTTTACACAGACTGGCAGAATTCGGAGAGCCTTAAAGGGCATTTAATTTCCGAATTTCTTTACCTATTTGAACCTCCAAGCCTCTCCAGTCTCAGGCCCTGGGATTTGAAATAGCCACTCCTTCCCTGGGGGTGGGAGCTTTTCCAGCTTAAGAATTCGCTGGGCTCCTGTGGGTCTTTTCGAGCCAGCTTCTCTTGCTGTGGTCTGAATTACAAAAACAACGGGCACTTAATTCTAGTTTTCCACATATGAAATTATGACATTGAATATGCTTTTTCTGGCTGCATGAGCCCACCCTCAGCACTTTGACAGGTCCCTTAAGTGTTCTGTCATCCCAAGCAGTAATTATGGTTTTCTCCTCCTTACAGTGGTTTTCACAGAAGAGCCTGGTACAAAAGGGACCCCCAGTGGGAGGAGGACCAATAACTCCTGAATTTAGGAGTTTTCTTTGCAGAGTTTATGTGCAGATCCCCGCCCTATCTCCCGTCTCCTGGTCTGATCTCCTGAGCTGCTTTCACAGGGACATTCCCAGGCCTCACGTGCCCGTCCTTTCTATTGCTAATTTGTTCATACAGGTGGCCTGGGGTGGTGAAAAGACCACTCGATTAAGGGCCAGGAGGGGTGGGGTCTGGGCCCTGGACTTCAGTTAGCTGTATAACCTTGGGTCTGTCTCTTGTCCTTGGCTTCTTGTGAAAAATGGGGATGCTCCTTCTCCTGGTCCTCTTGCCTCACGGCCATGGGTAATTTTAAGAGATCATGACCAGGGGACACTCTCAAAGCAGTGAACCTTGTCAAAGGGGAGAGAACTATGATGGGCAGAGTCCTGTCCACTCAGCATTCAAGGCAATGTGTCCACCTCTGCCCTTAATCACCTTGCCAGAAACCTGTTTGCACAAATCACCTGTTATTTCTGGGGGCACATTTCTGAGCATAGAGTGCTGGGGTCCCAGGACCACAGACAGTATTAGAACTGCCTTTATCTGAATTTTTGCTGATAGTGCTCATCGAAAGGACAGAACCAGGGGACAGCTTGAACTCCAAGGTTTTTGCCTCCATGGGTAAGTTTGGAGGTGAAACAGTCTCCCTCAGGCCCTTGCCTCTAGGGGAGCCTGGGGACTGTGATGTTGGGACCCCTTTGGGTGGGATTTGTTTAGAAGAAAGTGAGGCTGCTGCCCTCATTCCTCTGACAGGCTCACCAGGGGCCACAGGACAGGTCCAATGTGCAGAGCCCGGCCCCCAGGTCCAGCTGGCCTCTGTCACAGGAGAGAAGCAACAGGTGAGGATCAGCTCAGGGCCCTGCCAAAGGGGAGGTGTGCAGCCTGTCACATTTGGAAAAAACAGACTCCCTGCTCAGGAGGGGTCTGCACAGAAAGGTACTGCTTTCTCCCCAAGAGTATCAGCTCAGAATAACCTGCGATAGCCAGGCCAGAACTTTTCCTTAGAGATCAGGATCCTCTGAATGGCCAGTGGCCTCTTTTGCTTTTGTCATTCAGAGCAGGGTTTGGCTCTGGGATCAGAAGCAAGCTGGCCATAGCCACTTCCTGGCTCTGTAACTGAGCAAGGTAGCCTCACCTCTCTGAGCCACGGTTGTCTTGTCTAAATTGGAGACATTGGCAGGATGTCGGAACAAGGTGTGTACAGTCACAGCCTGCCATGAAGCAGGCTAGTGAACTCACAGAACCCTGCTCACGGGGACCCAGGAGACGGCTGGCAATGCCTGCCAGTACCCCAGCCAGCCTTCTCTGTGCCTCGCCTCTTGCCCCCCCAGCACAGCCGCCTTGACTCCTGCAGGGGAGTTGTCCCAGGAGCCTCTGGCTCAGGATGGCCTGGGCACGCAGGAGCTGAAGGGAGAAAGAGACAGGCACAATCCAGCCTAGTAAGTGTATGATGGGTACCCTGGGGACCCAGAGGAGTTACCTGCTCAGCCTTGTGGGACTGGAAATTCCCTCACTGAATCCTTCTGATTCAGACTGAAACAGAGACAGATGAGAGGTATAATTATAACCCTCATTTAGCAGTTCAGGCACTTGCTGGTGGCTGAGTCAGGATTCAAACCCAGGTTTTGCCAGCCTCTAGAACTTATATTTTCAGCCCCTTGGCTTTTCTGCCTATCCATAGGTGGGCACTTGAACCGGAAGCCATAATATCCCACATGTGGTTGACTAAGAATGGAAAAGAGGGCCTATCAACCTTCTTCGTTCTAAATGCCATACCTCTGTTGATACAACCTATAACCAAGTTATTCCATTGACAGAGGGACAGGGGAAAGGAGGAGAGTAGGAAGCCGGGCAAAATCCATTTTCCAAACCTCCACATTGCCAGTCTCCTCCGTCTGCCAGTGGGAGGAAGGATTGCCCCTTGGAGGACCCAGTGTGAAGAAGGTGTTTCATTAGGAAAACTTTGTGAGCCAAGGAGATAAGGAATCACATGGAATTGCAGCCCCAGGGCAGGAGGTGGACTCTGTTGGAGGCCTGTACAGGAGGGGGCCTGATAGCAAGAAGGAGTGAAGATAGAGTGGACAGGCTTTGGTTGCAATGAGAAAGGTGTGGGGAAGAGATAAGGATTGCCTGAGGATGGCACGTGGCTGCTGGGGTTTAAAATGGTGTTAGAGATGCTGGAATGAGATTGTCAAGGGATGAAAAGGGGATCACAAGAAAGTGATCAGGCCCCAGAGGGATGGAAGTATGTCAGGAACACGGTTTTAAAGCAACAGGGGCGACAGGTGGGGGCCCCTTGGATGATTCAGCTGTACAGCCATCCCCAAAGCTCTCAGCTTGCATTTTGTGGATTGAATATGCTAATTAGGCACTGGTCCCTGAAGACCGTGCAGGGAGCCCCTGTTAATTTACTCGCTGCTGACAACATTAGCTAATAAGCCTGTGCTGAGCGCATCACAAGCATTATCTCACATATCTTCCCAACCACCCTGTGAATTATTATCATCATTATTCCATTTCCCACATGGGGATACCAAGGCTCACAGAGGGGAAGCAACCCACCCAAGTTCAGTCAGCTGGAAAATAGCAGAGCTAGAGTTCAAACTCAGGCACATTCCGTGTCCACTGTCCATGCCTAGGCACAAGATGGGAGAGCAAAGGGACCCACAGCAGCAACCCTACTGGGAAGGTTTATGAAGTGAAGTTAGAGATAGCCTTGTTCTTATACGTCAGGCTAAAGAATTTCAACGTGATCTTGAAGGTTGTGGAGAGCCGTTGAAGGTCTTTGAGAAGGGGAATTGAACTAGCAGCCTTCTGAGGGTGCAGTGAAGAAGAAGGGTCCAGAGCAGTCGAGAAAGGTTCTATGCAGGAGTTTTGAAAGGAGGATAGGCCAGGGCAGCAGGAAGGCGGTCAGCACCCCTGTACTCAGACTGTCAAGTGTGTGATTCCTAGCCAACACCTTCTCTGCATTCCATCATTGCCTTGTCTTTGATGCTGGCTGGAGTCTGCCCTTGACATTCAGTCTGTGCATAAATCCAAGCATATCAGGCCAAGGCCCCAGTGGAAAGAGATAAATGATTTTTACACGGTGTGGAGCAGTGTATATGAGTGTAGCCTCGAGTCAACTCTCCTGCTGTACTCTTACGAGCTGTGTTACCCTGGGCAAGAGGCTTGACCTCTCTGAGCCTCATTTCCACCTGTAAAATGGGGTAGAGATTAGCACCCAACTCAGGCTGAAGATCCAGTGACACACAG